TTTGCATGTCCATTTTTGTTGATTTTTTGGTCTAGAATGGACGAAGAGGGTTTGAATTAACATTTTCTGCCAGGTTTTGGTAAATATTCATGATTTTGAGGCAGAACGATAACAGGGTTAACAGGTTGGCTACGGCGATATGTACGGCAACTAGTTACATGTTTTTAGTATGCTTCTTCAAGTTTGTGTACCTCAAAAATTTGGTGGTCAACCTCATAGAAATTTTAGTGCAAAGACATGATCATTTGTTCCTCTGTCTGTAGTGAAAAGTTGGAGGTGGGCAAAGAGGCCAGAATTAACATTGAAGTCAATGGGGAAATTAATGGTGGTCTGCCTCCTGTATGGAAATGTGATATATGGCATTTTGATAGTGAAATGGTAAAATTTCAAAAATATTTGACAAATTTGGGAGAGGAAATTTTGATTTTAGTCAGAATTTTGTGATTTTCAGTGTTTATTTACTTTTCAAAATTAGTGGAAAATATTTTAATGTATGATTTTTACTTTTTCTGCATCATAAAGGTTAGACGGGAAGAAAGTATCATAATTTCACTCAATTTTGCCTAAAAATCATGATAAATTGTCTGAAATTCTTCAGATTACCCCCAATATTGCTGTCAAAATTTTAATTATTCATCTGTTGTAAAATGAACCAAAATGTCTTGCATGTCTTTATTTTCATTGTTAAATAACTTGGAAAGGAAATGAAATGAAATGAAATGGGGTTTAACGTCCTACTGTTTTGCTCCGAACTGGGCTAATGAAGACGGGCATATGCCATACAGTGTGCTATGAGGGAAATTTTGCCTGGACAGCGGCACTATGGCCTACTCTTATATCGAATTCCAACTGTCAAGGGATCTTTTATGTGCATGTCAATGTGTACACAGGACCTCGGTTTTTCGTCCCATCCGAACGACTAGACAACTGTCCTTGTCAGGCCCTCCGTCCTGCATCACTGACAAGGGGGAACCACGCCGGAAAATCTGGATGAACTTTCTCGGCCAATGCAGGGATTGAACAACCGACCTCCAGGCTAGCAAGCCAGCGCCTTACCCACTTAGCCACCGTGATCCCCCAACTTGGAAAAGGATCCATGTGTTTGTCAGATATTGAAAAAGTATTCATGTGTTGGTCAAAAATTTAAAAATTAAGAAATTTAGTCCAATTATGTTCTGCTTAGGATTGTTAGAATTTTCAAAACATGAGTGAACTGCATTTTGCTGCTGTTTTCCTCTGGCTTAACACAATTTTAATCTTTCAAAACTTGAAATTGTTGCATTTCCCTTCTCGAGAAAGTAAAATCTATGTGTTTGCAGTGAAATTTCTCTGTCTTCATTTCATTTAGACTGGCTCACCCTCCCCACCCCACCCCTTTTCTTGAACATGATATTTGGATATTCAATTGAACATTTTTGACTCCAAATTAGCAGTAATTGGATTTTGTGCTTGAATTGTAACCGAGCATTTTATTTGACACAAACAAATAGTTACATATAAGAGTTCAAGGATTTCTAGGACTTTTTGTTTATGGCCAAACATGTAATTTATGACATTTCTTCCAAATGAGTCCACACCCCAAAATGGATATGTTGTAGATGTGTTTTTTGCAGCTTAATGTTTTACATTTTGGATGTAAATCTATTATTTGTGGTGATCTTTTAAAATGTGGCACTTTGACTTACAGGGCGATAAAATATTAATTAATAGCCTTTTCATACCCCTTTTATGTTATAAATTATGTCAGAACTCCCTTTTTCCATCTCATTTTGTCAGGACATTGATGTAAAGATTAAAACAACTTGCTTCCACATAATATTTACACTATTTAATTTCAAGGATACCTCTGATTGTTAAAGTATTTTAAAAACTGAAATATTCCCATGGGTTCCACGTCGGCCGTATATGCCGGTCGAGACCTACGGCTATGGAAAATGACCTTTCCTAAATCTGACCTAACGGTCATTTTGCACGCCGGAAAGAGGGTCTTTTTTTAAAAAAAAAAAAAATTCAAACATGACTACGATCGACCTTCACTGTGTAACTATACAAGAATGCACGTCGTCTAGAAGCCAATCTCGTGATTGGTGTTATAGAGTTGTATATATAGTCGTCAACAGATTATACTGAGTGTTGTGTTGATAATTAATGATGAGTATCTGGTAGTAGAACAATAAATGTTAATTGATAAGTGGGAATCTAATCAACGGCGTGAAGCGGCCCATTGTTAATCATTCACGTATTGACCACGTGTCATAAGAATTTTCAACAACAAAGCCGTTTACCGCTATTACGGTCAGGCACAATGTAAACAAGGTTATTATGATCTTCGAAAAAGGGCAATTGCTATGAAGTATTGCTCTTCGAATCCAACCAACTGTCATATCAAATAAAAACAGCATAGAAATTACGTAAATCCTCAACAACGTACGTGTTGGAAGAAAAATGCATTTAAAAATAAAATATTTATAGCGGTATTACGGCCTTGTGGAAATTGTTGAAATAAAATCTAGAAATTAGTTAACTTGCTTACCGAACAATTAAGAAAAATACGTATTCCAGTTCTATTGTGCAGCAATATTGATGATTCCACGTGTCGAAGAAATGTCGTGTATATACGGTTACTCTTATACACGACCATATTCTAGGGGGCGCTAGTGTCGCTAGCCGTGAAGTTAGTTATCCGTTAGTCATTTAGTTATACATTATTAGGATTTAAGTCACAATTCTGCAGCCTGTACTTCCGTAAGAGATGGTCTAAAACCAAAAAAATGTGAGATGTATGCCATGGATAATTATATATTTATCTTCATTTCAAAGTTATTGTATTACAACTCAAAATTATCCAGGTCAGTGTGTTTTCTATAGAGCACGTGTTAATTACGTGTGAGCTACTGAAGTGTTTTTTCTCCGGCCGATTCAACTATTTCGTTATTTAAGTAGCCAAAACGGAATATTTAATTATTAAATAATTATCATGAGCCTTACTAATATAATATATTTTTTTTTGTGCACCCCATGGTGACAAAGTAGTATAGACACATGAATTCACAATACCCTACCATAAATAAAAAACATGAAATATAAATTTACTTTGAAAAGTTTTCGTGCGTTATCAAAAATGACCGGCAGTGAAAATTTTGAAGTGGAAGCCCTGCTTTGCGACCCTTTTATTAGAGTGGCTGGTTGTCACCTAAATACAGCATTTATTTTACATTTATCAATCCATATTTTAATAAATAATTCATACTTCTTATAACTAACTGTGTTTATATGTATGTATATAAGCCAGGGATACAAGAACATTGCTTTTAGCCATATTCCATCAACAGTATTACTTATGTGGATACAAGTGGGATTTGTTACCACACCAACATTTTTTAGGGGGTGGGCTTACAGGTTTCACTATAGTTCCTTACAGTTATTACTTATGTGGACACAAGTGGGATTTGTTACCACACCAACATTTTTTAGGGGGTGGGCTTACAGGTTTCACTATAGTTCCTTACAGTTACCTTCAATGCAACAAATTTGCAGCTTGTCTTCCTGTATACCGGCCAAGGTTTCTAGAAATAAATGCCTTTCATATATAGGGAAATATTAGCATTTTGAGGCATACAAAGTGTCAAAAATTGACCATTTTGTAGAAAAAGGTAAAAGAAAGTCAGTTTTTGAAAAATATTCCAATATTTTGAATATTTTTGATGTGACTTGTTTGAAACTCTTTAAATCTTTTCGCAGAACTCACATTTTGACAAAATTAAGAAAGAATCTTCAATTCTATTTTTTTGGGATTCTGTTTTATAATAATGTTGCAAAAATAAATGTGAAGCTATAAAGAAAAGAATTTTGATGATATATGAACTTATAAAACCATATAGGTGGCAGACCACCATTAAATTTCACCATCATTGTAGTTCGTCTATTTATAGCAATTCTCTCTCTCTCTCTTTTTTCTTCCCTTTTCTTCCCTTTTGCATGCCCATTTTTGGTGATTTTTTGGTCTAGAATGGATGAAGAGGGTTTGAATTAACATTTTCTGCCAGGTTTTGATAAATATTCATGATTTTGAGGCGGAAGGATAACAGGGTTATCAGGTTGGCTACGGCGATATGTACGGCAACTAGTTACATATTTTTAGTATGCTTCTTCAAGTTTGTGTATCTCAAAATTTTGGTGGTCAACCTCATACAAACTTTAGTGCAAAGACATGACCATTTGTTCCTCTGTCTGTAGTGAAAAGCATTCAGCCCAACGAAAATTTGGAGGTGGGCAAAGAGGCCAGAATTAACATTGAAGTGAATGGGGAAATTAATGGTGGTCTGCCCCCAGATTACTTCCAGAGTTACGGCCTATGTTTTAGTTTTTAGAACCTTGTGAACCCTCAAACGACGAAAATTATAATGTCATCTGTATGGAATTGTCTATTAAATTCCCCTAATTACCCTTGTCGACTGCTCGGACAATTTAGCTGCTGTGGGCGTATGTTTCGTTGCCTGGCAACCTATCTTTACAATTTATATATCATTAGTTGCTTACATATGGTACCATGCATAATAGAATAAAGTCATTCTCTCAAACCTCATTCAGCCAGAGTTTGCTGATAGAACCTGCTACATCTTTTCTCTTCCAGAATCTAGCTGTTGTCTAGAAACTCAGATGGTAAACTCTCCAGAATCTAATGAAAATCTGTTTTAAAAGTTTTCTATGATTTCTTTTGTAGTAAATTATTTTAGTAAATTTCCAAGCACGTGTAATCTTGTGGTATTTTATTGACACATAATTTGGCTCTATAACTCTTTTTATGTGTCAACCTGTCACTTTTTCATTAAGTTGATTTAAGTACAATTCTACATATGTGAATTTAATAACTTGCCAAAGATATTAATTAATGAAATATACTGCCACCATTAATTTCAAGAGCAAAAATTCTAGCAATATTATTACACAGTCCACTGGGCATTTCATTTTCTGGCAACCCTCACTTTGTGTTTTTTCAGATACTATTTCGGCATGTTGCAGTTATTGTGACTTAGATTATTACCAGATTATGGCAATGCAACAACAATATAGAGACCCCCCACCATATCCGGGCCACTCGAAACAACCACTGTATCAACCAGGTTAGTAAAAACAAGCCAAATGTTATGATGTCTTCCATATAGTTTTGATATTTATACGCCCTCCATCCATCGTCCACAATTTCTTGTGAACGCTCTAACGCCAAAAGTTATGATCCAATTGTTTTAAAATTGATATATGTTGTTTACATTAGTGAGATGAAGAAGCCTATTTAATTTCAATAATTTCCATTTATAATGTCTAAAGTTATGGCTAAGGTTGCAACGATATCAAATTCTGATATCGCCATTAATCATGATAACTGCTTTTGGAATTATCGCGATAAATAAAAGTCTACGATTATCAATTTTATCACGATAATTCTCTTTATCATGATATAACATAGTCGACAGCATGCCACATTTTTCTCACCACCAACATCGTTTGGCTTTATCCCAAAATAATTCCACACAACAGACGATGTGTTTGCCTTTGCCGACAAATCAACGACATCAACTTGATCAAGATCATTATAAGCAGTCACTTGTTGTAGGCCTATTTGTATAATAGCATCGGTAGGTGTTTTTTGGACGTTCGACATTTTAATCATTAATTACAGTTTAAATTCTATTCTGTAGCAGCCGACGCACTGTGACCGAGTAAAAGACGAGAAATGGAAAAACCACCGACTCGATTGACCAGTCTTGAATATGGTATAACCGCTGTGTTAGTGTATGTTTTTCAACAATAAAAAATATACAAATTTATTAGTTTGTAAATATCTCATTAATTAAAGTTTAGTCGTATGGTTTTAAATATATGTTCTAATTACTTCTAAAATATTAAAAACCACCCAAAGTATGTTTTAAAAAATCATATCGATGAACCTGAGTGCGGATTCATAACTTGAAAAAAGCGGCTGGATGACTAAGTCGAGTTACTTGGTTGCTTTGTTTTGGCGGGTTAAACAACCAGACGTACAGTACTAACTTAACATTGAAATAAACATAATATTTTCAGTCTTGTTAACCGGGGATTCGCCGCACCGTTGCTACGGTACACCGATGTCGCGTGCGGCTTTGTTTACAAAATGTGTTTAGGGAACTTCCTCTCACCGATTTTTATTGTATAATTTTACAAGTAGTAATTAAACTATTATTTCGAATTCGATCCGGCCCCCGCACCGGTGAAAATGAACTTTGGATTTATTGCACCGACCTCCGCCCAAAAAAATCCTAAAATACCGGGGATTGCGATTATTCAACTTTGGCCGATACGATATCACTTGAAAAAAAATAATCGCGATAATGCGGCATCCCCGGGGTATCGCTGCAACCTTAGTTATGGCCCTTGTTTCACTTTGTTGAACCTTGTGAACGCTCTAATGCCAAAAGTTAACATCCAATCTTTGTGAAATTTATATGCAATATTTAAATTAGGGAAATGAAGAAGCCTATTGAATTTCTGCAATTTTCGTTTATTACTTCTAGAGTTATAGCCCTTGTTTCACTTTGTTTAACCATGTGAACGCTATAACCCCAAAAGTTATCATCCTATCTTTCTGAAATTTATATGCATTATTTAAATTAGTGAAACGATGAAGCCTATTTAATTTCAATAATTTCCGTTTATAACATCTTGAGTTATGGCCCTTGTTTCACTTTGTTGAACCTTGTGAACGCTCTAATGCCAAAAGTTAACATCTGATCATTGTGAAATTTATATGCAATATTATATTTAAATTGGGGAAACGAAGAAGCCTGTTGAATTTCAGCAATTTCTGTTTATTACTTTTAGAGTTATGGTCCTTGTTTGACTTTGTTTAACCTTGTGAATGCTCTAACCCCAAAAATTATCATCCTATCTTTCTGAAATTTATTTGCATTATTTAAATTAGTGAAACACTGAAGCCTATTGAATTTCAGCAATTTCTGTGTATTATGTCTAGAGTTATGGCCCTTGTTTCACTTTATTGAACCTTGTGAACGCTCTAACACCAAAAGTTATCATCCGATCTTTCTGTAATTTATATGCATTATTTAAATAAGTGAAACGAAGAAGCTTATTGAATTTCAGCAATTTCTGTTTATTACGTCTAGAATTATGGCCCTTGTTTCACATGTAGCTATCTTCCATGTATCACAGCGCAACTACTCTGCCCCCCTTAATCGCAAAATCATGACTATTTTCCAGAAGTCTGGCTGAAAATTTCAATTCAAACCCTAAATGAAGAAAGAGAGAAGGCTACAAATAACTTTTGGTGAATTGTAATATTTATAAATCCTCCGTAGTTAATTCTATCTTTTATTCTGTTTTATTAGGAGGACGTCAAAGTTTTTCTGGAAGTGAAACAAGTACGGATGTATCTGTGTCTTCGATGGAAAATCTTGCAACATCCATTCGACAAGAACCACAAGGTGAAGAAAACCAATCACAGAATCTCTACAATCATTTGGATTTAAGTAATAGTGATGGTGGTTATAGTATTTTGGCTCGGCTTGGTATGCCAACATCATGTGTTTCTGATACTAAGCTTACCAGTGTACCTGCATATTTTGTTCCGGGACCGCCTGGTAGTCAAGTGTACACAACTCAAAGTGAACAATCTACTGCTTACACAAATAGTCCAGGAGGACAATTATCTTATTGGCAAACAGGACAAAAAACTATGACAACGCCACCATTACGATCTGATTGTAGTCGTGTGCCGATCTCAACCTACCATGGATCAGGACCTTACGTGAATTCTCAGTGGGCCCACAATCCAATGGATATTTCACACAATCAACAAATGATGTCATATTTGGCCAACTTGCCTCCTCCACCAGAATATCCTGGACCTAAATTATCTGATCCTCCAGTGAAAAAGGAAATGTGCCATGCCTTTGAATTGATTGACACTACAAATAAAGCTGAATTAAGTCGGTCACAACCTGATTTGTCTCGTTTACCAGAATCTCTGATAAAAACTCCTTTGTCTAACCCTGATCTGAAAATATACGCATCTTCAAGGTACCGTAATGCTTTTAATTAAAATGACAAGAACTCTTTCATTTGATTTTGTATAGATGTTGATTTATTTTGTGGATGACAATCTAACCAATTTTCTGTTCCACTATCAACACATTAAGCTCAATTCAATTCAATTCAATTCTTTAATTCTTTAAGTCTACTGACTCATCAGATAACATATATACACAAACACGATATATACAAGGCAAGTAAATACAAACATTATATACTATTCAAAAAAAGTAGGGGATATTTGATTTTTAAGTGTTATTAAAGTCACCTAATGAAACTGACGAAGAAACAAATGACAAAATGAAATGAAGTTCACATTCATCGATTTATTCCAAATGATCGTTAGACTAAGTAAGGCACAGACTGACCATTATAAGGGTAAAATGATACCCGGGGTCAAACAGCAAAGTTACCACAGCATCACAACCAAGTCAGTAACGGGTAAATCATCCTCTGTTTGCCAAACAAGCATTGATCCGACGTGGCATACTCCTAATGAGACGTCTAAGGTCATTTTGGTCCAGATTGTCCCATTCCTGTTGCAACGCAGCAGCAAGTTCTTGGACATTGGCAGGATGTTGTTGACGTTGACGTAACCTCTGTCCAAGCATGTCCCAGACATGCTCGATGGGGGAGAGGTCGGGACTCAGTGCTGGCCAAGGTAATGTGGTGATGTTCTGTTGTTGGAGGTAACCTGTAACGATCCTGGCCCTGTGACATCTTGCGTTGTCATCCTGGAAGATGAAACGGCGGCCATGACGTCGTGCGAACGGCACAACATGGACTGCCAAGATGTTGTCCAGGTAGTACTGGCCTGTAACACGCCCTGCAACAACATGTAAAGCCGTTCTTCCAGCAACAGTGATGCCTCCCCACACCATAACAGAACCACCCCCAAATCGATCATGTCTGATGACGTTAACGTCTTGGAAGCGTCTCACTCTCACACCAGTGTCTGTTTGAAGACGAGCGCTGATCTGATTTGCTGTGATGACACGATTTCTCAAGGCCAAGGTACGGATAAATCGATCCTGGGCTTGAGTTGTCGCCCTTGGTCGACCTGAGCGTGGTCTGTCCTGTACAGATTGTGTATCACGGTATCTGGACCATAGCCTGCTTATGACAGACTGAGAAACATTCATCGTCCGCGCCACAACCGCCTGTGTTGTGCCGATCTGTAGCATGCCAAGGGCACGTAACCTTTCATTTTGGGTAAGCCGACGCATATCAAAATTTGTTTTCTGGTCACTAAAACAATTAAACTGATGTTTCCACCCTGGAATTCAATGCCACAATGACTGTAACATTCAAAGTCAGAGTCGTGCAAATCTTGGGTTGGACCCCCATGATGATCCCAAGCATCACCTGCATTCCATGCGGTAGCTATTGGTGCGTTTGGGCGTCACATGTAACTGGAAATGTTTCTTCTGTTAGATTCTATAGTGACTTTTTTCGTAGTCATTTGCATATTTTAGTATTATGCCCCCAAAATCAAATATCCCCTACTTTTTTTGAATAGTATAATTACATATACACAAACACAATATACACATGACCATTAAATACAAACAGACAAAAAGTATGGGGATGGGGTGTAAATAAATTGTATTAAATTGCTAGCCTAAATTTAAACATGACGGAAAAATGCAGTAAATATTATAAGCTTCATAAAATCATCCAAACTTCTAAAATGACTTTAAAAGGGGGGAAATAAGCTAGATTATTACAATAAAAAAAATAACAAAATAAACAGTCAAATCAAAGGGTGGGGGGGGTACATTTAAGTTAGGTCAGGTAATGTGGCAAGTTTAATTATTAATTAATAGAGTGGTTCTTTTCTTATCTGCAGAAATGAGAAATTTGCGCAGGTTCCGTATTTCGGATGTTGAAGTTGTACTTAATAACTGAATTAATTTAAATATACAGTGCACTCTGTCACATCCGACCTCTGATCACTCCGGCACTCTGTTACATCCGACACCATTTTCATGTCCTGATTTATTTCCTTATCTCTGGGTAATTTGACCTCTGTACGTTCCGGATTACGACATCAATCAGCCGTCCCGTCATACGATTTCCATTGAATCGACACCGTATAATCCGGCCTTCAATCGATGGGTGTGAAGCAAACACTTACCGATCAATTATCCGTGAGATTAAAACTGGATGGGTGTGAAGCCACAAAAGATTAACAAGCAATCACCAATCAATTATCTGTGAGATTAAAACTCGCTACCCTGTGTCTTTGTTGATTACTTTGATAATTTTAATCTCTTGTACGACAATTTCGAGTAAAAATATGCAGACATTCCAAAATTGTGCATTTTTGCCCTGTACATCTGCGTGAAGAGCCTCTCAAAATACTCAATATAGAAGCATGTCGTTTTGTGAACAACCCTATTTTAAGTGTCCTTATTTCATTATGCCTACTGTATTTAGTCTAATGACGACTGGAGGTTAACGGCATGTCTGTGGTTGACAGCACAGTCATTTCAATCTTTCACTTCGACAGGACGTAAAGAGAAAACTATCGCTATGAAAGCCAACATTTGATTGGCTGAATGTAAACAGTATATCTTGTTCTTGCCAATCCCAAGTCTTGTATGAAATGCACTTTATTGCTTCCAATAGGATAGCTACGTAGGCTTACTGCCATGAACTTATGAATGAAATAAGAGGAAATATAAAAAACTACGGAGACTACGTACAGTAGAGGTGTGTAAATGCCGGGTGAAGCACATAAATTGTACAAACTACGACATAGAATAATCTAATTATTCTCACGTCGGGGAAATTTTCTGCATGTAAATTACGCAGTATCCGTCAATATTTGCATTTATTTTGAAAAAAATGCGTGAAATATGCGGATTTTTGCGTGTGTGCGACCTCTGTCCACAAATTTTCCCCTGAATTCACAGTCGTAAAAATATTCCTAGCACCTGTTGGAAACATTTGTTGCGCATGCCGATTGAACCTGAATAACCTATAAGTTTTGTCACCCTACGGATCTCTTCGAATCTTTTGATGACGACCAGGGCATGCTCGAGTCACAGTCTGGAACGTCCCGAATTGACAGAATTGCAATCGAGTGACGCGGAATTCAGTCCTGTCACAGTTCTGTCAGTCCCGACGACGGAGGTGGTGTGAGTAGAATTGTGACGTAATTAAACACGACGAACAGGTTTCGGCTGCATGGTTGGATTAGATATTTATATATCCAGTCGACGCATGCGTTGTGGCCCGAAGTACCCATTTTCACTCGATTGTCATTATTTTTGGGATTGACAGAATTCAATTCCGGAACGTTTAATCGAGTACGCCCAGTATCAATGAACACGTGATAGCAAAGACAAGAGTGCGATCAACTGAAGACGTCGAAGAAGATAAATTAACGACAGACTTGACCTATTCAAAATGCCTACGCATGTTAAATGAAATAAAAATTAATGTAATAAAATTTTGAATGTACAGAAAGGTTTATCATTTTTAAAGGGAATAACATTCTGGTGTATGGTGGCCCATGGTCACAATAGCGTTTTTGGGGTTATTTTTGGTATTTCATTTAAAATGATAAAAATATTAGTACAAAAAAAAAAAAAAAACTTTTTTTTTTTTTTTACAAAATAAAAAAAAATAATCTTAAAAAAAAATCTTTTTAAATGAAAAAAAAAAAAAATCTATATTTATATAAAAAAAAATAATAAAATATATTTAAAAAAAAATAAAAAATAAATAATATTAAAAAAAAAATTAAATGAAAAAAAAAAAAATTGAAAAAGAAAAGATAAAAAATAATTCCCGACGTGGCCCATCGTCGCAATAGTGTCTTGAGTATCCAGACCCAGTATACAGCTATCATTAGACTAGAGCGACCAGAAACATTTTGTGGCCCATTGTTGCAGTAGTATCTCGATTATTATGTGTGGGATCTATGAAGAACGTATAAACTCGAACGACAAGAAACGAGTCTGTAGTTATCTCACGTCAACATAATTGTAGATACTTCAATTTTGATTAACTAAGCACTAAAATAAATCTAATATTATCTATTATCCAATCAAATACTAAAATTTGAATTTTATCTTAGTAAAACAGGCCCCAGACGAAGTCCATGTAGGCTATCATGCTCTATTTTGTCTTTGAAATTGATGTTGTCCGCCATCGCACTTTCGCACCTCTTACCCGTTCCTGTGGTCGTAGCGGGGGACTAGCGATGACCTCAGGGAGAGCAGGGGTTTCACAAAAACTGAAGCTAAAATCACTAACATAGATTTTAAAATCAAAGTGAAATTTTAAATATATGTTTTTCACGAAGATCGATTGTAAAATTACTTATGCCATGATGTGAGGTAACTATAGACTGGTTTCTTGTCGCTCGAGTCTATACCATACGTTCTTCATAGATCCCACACAGGATAATCTGAACGACAGACCCACGATGTTTGACAGGTCACCCTACTCTTTGTCACGTACAACCGGGGATTCGAAATCACGCCAGTTGACTCAATGACGGGCTTTATGATATGACAGGCTTTATGATACAGCGCGCACGTGCTAACCATTGCCCCCCCCCCCCCGCTACTTAGTAGTAGTAGGCCTATACTTCGAGGATTAGTTTCAAAGTTGTTAACTACTTTTGAAATTCGACCTCAGGGAGACCAAGTGTTTTAAAAATATTACTTAAGCCTTTTGAGGGGAGAATAGGCCTTGCGCACTAGTAGGCCGAATGGTGTCATTAAAGTCAATGACTTCAAACGTCATTATGTATGTAGGCCTAGTTCTAGTTAGACTGGATAAACTAGTCTAAATGACGCTAGGCTTCTATAGTCTATTAATTATACATTTCTATTGACTTGCATATGTATAAATACATATATCCAAGTCCATAGACATCATGGGTGGAAAAATTGTGTTTCACGTGTTGATGTCTGTTTACCTTATTCCTTTCGGAAGGGGAGATAACTACAAACTCGTTTCTTGTCGCTCGAGTTATGCCACATAGGATAATCAAGACACTATAGCAACAATGGGCCACAAGGTATTTCTGGTCACTCGAGTCGAATGATAGCTGTTGTAGGCTGATTTTATACTGAGTCTGGATAATCAAGATAATAATACTTCCGGTTTTCGAAGTTACAATATTTCTGGTTTTGAGAAAACTGGGTATTCTGACACTCTGCGTAATCTGACATATTGTAACGATCTCGTTCAATGTCGGATGTGACAGAGTGCACTGTATTAGGGTTTCGTAAAAAGAATGGTTTGATAAATTGGTGACGCAATTCATTATAGCAAGGGCAGCTTAACATAAAATGAAATTCATTCAGGTTACAAAGGGTGCACTTTCTTTCACAATGTTCTATTTTATTGTATTGGCCTACATCTATAAATTATGCGTGGATATTCGGAATTTGCTTATAGTTTTAAGGAAAATAGATTTAACACTTTTTTTAAAATAGCTCTGCAGCATAAAGTTAACGGTTAAATGTTGATAAATTATACCTTTGGCGGACGATTTTAGTTTTTCCATATTTTTGGGGGGCAAAGATATCATATAACCTATTTTTTATAATTTGGAACGTACCATTGTTAACTTCTTTTAAAAGCAATATATATCCAAGACCGATTCTATCTAATTCAGTTTTAATAAATTTAATCCAACTGTCATTATTTAAAATCATAACTTCATAACAGGAGTTGAGAATAACATTATCAGTGTTACGCAGACGAATCCAATATTTAAAAATCTTACATTTTGTATCTAAAATTAAAGTTAAAAACTAAACTTTCAAAACATCACATATTGAATTTAAATCAAAGAGGTTTACATGTAGCTCCTTTGATCTATATGTGAATAATGATTTCACGACAGGGCTGTTCCTCTTCAACTTGCATGCTGTTTTTGTCAAACATTGCAAATTATTTTCATTTCAATTACTAACAATATAATTAGCGTATATACAAAAAATATAATTATTTTCATTTAAATTATTAGAAAAATGATTAGTTCCTATACATTTTAAATTTTTGACTGAATATGTGTTATAAATATTAGAAACACTGATAAAAGAATAGCCTGTGCCAAACAAAATGACAGGATTTTTGTGCCTGACAAAGTCTGAATTAGTGTCTGAAAATGTCTTGAATTTCACGCTTATACAGCGAGTTGTAATGAATAATATTTTGACTCTAATTACAGGACTGACATGACATGTGATAGAAGTAGTAAAATAACAGATATTGACCAATCAGAAATAGTTACACGAGCTACACAACTTGTAGAGATGCTATCAAAAGAAAATCGAAATTTAGTCAGTCAAATGAGTGAATATACCAGAAAGATCTCCAAATTACAAAAGGTAAGCTTACTATAGAATATATTTCAATAGTCATTTACACCATATTAGGCAATCAGATAAGATGGGAAAATAAATTAAGCTTCACCCCTATTTTTATATGCCCATATTTTCATGCAATCTGATTAAAATACAGATCTATTTTTCGTTTCGTTTTTTTATACTTTCGATGGCCTACACTACATGAAGATCTGACAAGTTATAGCGATAGGTCACGTCACGGGTCAAAAGACTTTTGACCTTATGACATCAGACATATGATTAACCAATCAGCATTGATGTTACTAGTGGATTACCCACAGTTCTGTGCAAAACACGCCTAAAGCTCGACGTAACAGACTGTTTCATTGGCTTATCCCTGACACCATTCAGAACACAAGTTAAATAACAACTCTTCTAGATCCTAGTGTAGTAAAGACAAGTAAAACGAAATTTTGAACTATGAAAACGAAACAAAATAGGATCTGTGTTTTAATCAGATTGCATTTTCAAGAGGATGTATATTGTCGTCGCCCCTGACCGTCCACAATTGTTTGTGGACACTCTACAGATCACAATTCTTATCTGATTTTGACGAAACTTGAAATATAGGTTTATTTCCAAAAGCTTTCGATATTGGCATGTATCGGACAGAAACTTCATGGATTATGGCCCCTGATTGTCCGTCTGTCGGTCCGTCCCTCCATCGTCCACTTGTGAACATTCTACAGACTACATTTATCATCTGATTGTTTTGAAATTGATGTTGTTTGCATTAGTGAGGGGGATCACGTGGCTAAGTGGGTAAGGCGCTGGCTCGCTAGCCTGGAGGTCGGGTGTTCGATCCCTGCATTGGCCGAGAAAGTTCATCTCGATTTTCCGGCGTGGTTTCCCCTTGTCAGTGATGCAGGACAGAGGGCCTGACAAGGAAGGCTGCCTAGTCGTTCGGATGGGACGAAAAACCGAGGACCCGTGTACACTTTGGTGTGCACGTAAAAGATCCCTTGGCAGTTGGAATTCGATATAAGAGTAGGCGGTAGCGCCGCTGCCCGGGCAAAATTTCCCTCATAGCACACTGTATGGCGTATGCCCGTTTTCAATTAGCCTAGGTTAGGTGCAGAAGAGTAGGACGTTAAACCCCCATTTCATTTCATTTCATTTCATTGCATTAGTGAGATAAAGAATCCTATTTAATTTCAACATCTTCCATTAATTTCTTCTGGAGTTATGGCCCTTGTTTCACTTTGTTGCATCTTGTGAACACTCTAACAACAAAAGTTATCAACCAATCTGTATGAAATTTATATGCATCATTTAAATTAGTAAAACAAGGGGTCTTTAGCAGTGGGAGAAAACGCACGAGGTTGGACAGGCGACCCTACTCCTTGCCACGTACAACCGGGGATTCGAAACCACGCCAGTTGACTCAATGACAGACTTTATGGTACAGCGCGCACGTGCTAACCATTCAGCCCCCCCCCCCCCCGGGACTATAATGACGGGGTTGAATTTGAATTTCGGGAAAATCGAAATGAACTGTGTAAAAGTATGCAAAGGTTGTGGACCCTCTAGAGGTCACAATTTTTATCTGATTCTGAGGAAAGGTAAAACATATCTTTATATCCCAAAAATGTACAAAAAATCATTTTTGTTTTCAGCTTGTTCTCTATCCATCTCTTGCAAAATGTGGGCGTATCCTGCCTGGCAGTCGCTGGTTTTAGTATTGATACAGCAGACCAATCAATATCCCATATCAATATCCCGGAACAGTTGGAAAGTAATTTTTTGCGCCTTTCGCTTGTTATCTACATTCCTGCATATATTTTCTGTATACAGTGAAGCATAACTTGGTTTAATATATGGTTGGTTCATTACAGTTAGAATTAGAGATAGAGAAAGTTCATGGAGCGTACGAATCTCTGGCTAAATCAGCACAAAAACGGGAGAAATTAGACATGGCATTAAAACAAAGATTAGAAGTTGAAATCAAGAAATTACAAACAGAAAATAAAGATTTGAAAGGTAAGTCTTGATGTCGTAATGTGTAACATGGACTTGGATACCACAAAACAAATTGTCCAAAGATATTGTGTTACCTTGAAAGACACGTACCGGTGTGACCACAGTCCACAATTCATATCTGTGATTCTGTACAGACTGTCCTAGAAAGAAAATTGATATATGTGATTCAGTATAGACTAGCCTTGAAAGAAAATTGATATGTGATTCAGTATGGACCAGTCTAGAAAGAAAATTTTTAGTTTAACCGGACAAGATGTATAACCTGGCGTATTTTAACCATGAGCCCTACACACATTTTTAAAAAAATAATAAATCAATTAATACAACAGGCTTAACTTTACAATTGAAAAATAAGTTCTTAAATAAAATTGTATTTTTTGAATTAATTAGGCTTTGATACTTGTGCCTGTTTTGGTACAACTACTTGGCTATATTTGGTAAAACTACTTGTTAATATGTTTATATTTGGTAAGACTGCTTGTTGATATGGCTATATTTGGTAAGACTGCTTGTTGATATGGCTATATTTTGGTAAGCCTGCTTGTTAATATGGCTATATTGACCTTTGACTAAGTCTAAATATTGTGCCTTTTTGTTTATATTTGACAGATCAAATAGATAAATCTATGTCTCCAACAGAAAAACATAGAGTTAAAACAGAAACTGAAATAAAGAGTAAATTATCTGAGAAAGATACAACCATCATTAAACTGTTATCTCACAGTAAGTTTCTTTTATTATGCTTACTCTTTATATCAACAGAGCCACAGTCGCTTAGGAGGTCCCGGGTTCGATCACATTATTAGCAGCAAAGTTTCCTTTTCTTCAGTGGTGCAGGACGAAAAGACTGGCAAGGAAAAAGCGTTGAGTTGTTGTGATTGGTCGAAGTCCACATGTGTACTCCTTGGCATGTGGCATGGTTTTTATACGCCCACATTTAAATGTGGTCGTATATTGTCGTCGCCCCTGTCCGTCCATCGGTCTGTCGGTCCGGCTTCCACAATTGCTTGTGGACGCTCTAGAGGCTAAAGTTAATATCCGATTGACTTTAAATTTATACACAGTGTTTAAGGTCTTGAGACGAAGAAGCCTATTGATTTTCAGCGATTTCCGATAATTACTGCCAGAGTTATGGCCCTTGAACACTTCAAAAAATCTTGTGGGCGCTCTAGAGGCCAAAGTTAATATTTGATTGACTTTATACACAGTGTTTAAGGTCTTGAGACGAAGAAGCCTATTGATTTTCAGCGATTTCCAATAATTACTACCAGAGTTATGGCCCTTGATCACTTCAAAAAATCTTGTGGACGCTCTAAAGGCCAAAGTTAATATCCAATTGACTTTAGATTTATACACAGTGTTTAAGGTCTTGAGACGAAGAAGCCTATTGATTTTCAGCAATTTTCGATAATTACTGCCAGAGTTATGGCACTTTGAAAAATCTTGTGGACGCTCTAGAGGCCAAAGTAAATATCCGATTGGCTTTAAATTCATACACAGTGTTCAAGGTCATGAGACGAAGAAGCCTATTAAGTTTCAGCGATTTCCGATAATTACTGCCAGAGTTATGGCCCTTTATCACTTCAAAAAATCTTGTGGACGCTCTACAGGCCAAAGTTAATATTTGATTGGCTTTAAATTCATACACAGTGTTCAAGGTCATGAGACGAAGAATCCTATTGATTTTCAGCAATTTCTGAAAATTACTGCCAGAGTTATGACCCTTGATCACTTTGAAAAATCTTGTGGACGCTCTAAAGGCCAAAGTTAATATCCGATTGACTTTAAATTTATGATCAGATTTGAGTGTTTTATAAATGTTCCATTACCGAAAATTAAAAATATGCGACAACTCTTGTTGACTGCCTGGACGATTTAGCTGCTGTGGGCGTATGTTTAGTTGCCTGGCAACCTATCTTTTTTTAAAGTGTACCATCCCATCTAAATTATGAAATTCCAATTCCTCTTACAAAATCCCTGTCTTAGGGAAGATTGATACATATTCTTCCAAAATATATTTTAAAAAAGATAATTTTTCGCAAAATAATTTTTTTATTGAACATTATACCTAACGTATTGAAATTTTTTGAATCGTATCACTCTAGATGAAATTATATCAAATGCAAACAATGCACATTAAAATTCATATAAATAGCAATCTCTATAGGTAGAATATACATTGAATTATGTTAAATGAATGAAGATGCTATTATTTTTGGGTCATAAGACGGTGAAGATGACCATTTTAGTAAATATAAAATGTCTCTTTTGAATTTGACAGACGCATGGCACATTTATTTTCCTTTCAGATATTAACTGTTGCTTATATATATTAATAATTTTCTTCAAAAGTTTAATGTAATAATACATTATCTAAATCTGAAGTTTCATGGGATATGATTTACAAATCAATTTTTAATTTAAAAATTAATTGCATTGCTAATGTTACATGTGGTCAGACATTCTGGCAGATTTGTAACATTAGCACTAAAGTTTGAAGAAAATTTCTATTTATAGTGTTGATGTAAGTAGTTACTGAGATTTTTTTCATGCTAAATAAAGCATAATATTAAGAATTTAAGATTAATATAATAAAATATAATCATATATTTTAATAACCTAAAATTTAAACATTTATTGGGCATGCAACTGTTGCTAACGTTACATAAGGACAGACGTGGACATTTTATAAATAACTGTATTACTTGAATTATTGTTTTTATCTAAAAATAAAAATAGTCCGCAATGAAAGGTATTAATAAATTGTATAGTATTTCTACCCTTGGGCGAGTTTTAAATTTAAAATCGGACAAAAAGTATTTTAAAAGCACGTGCTAAAGTTACGTAAGGACAGACGGTTTATTTAATCGGTCTGACAATTGACACGTTAGCACTTTTTTGCGGGGGTCAAAGTCATTTTGATCGAATGAATAAGGCGAGAATGCCGACCGCCATGTTTATGCATCGGGAATCGGAAAGCCGGTTTTCTTTTCTAAAGGCCGTAAAGAAAGTGATACATTTTGAGTAAATAATGCTGTGAAAGGCGAATTAGTGGTGCTAACGTATCAAGAGTGCTAACATTAACATTTTCGAACAGACAACTGTAAAAATGGCATAATCAATCGACTACCTGTGTCAAATTATCCGTATCCTGTGTGGAAGATCGGGACTACACTCACGCTTCGTTTGCAGCGGTTATTCAAATTCTATCACATAATATGAAGCCGAAAAGAAATATTAAAATAATGCTAACGTTTCGCTAAAACTGGACAGACATTAATTGAACAAAACCTTAGCAATATATAAGCATGGAAATTTGATTTTCCAAAACATTTTCCTGCTTTTTTTAAATGGCATATACTAAAACATAAACAGCCATTCCACAAATGGACAAATTTATTTTCATGTGACGTAAAAATACAAAGTTTACAAAACAAATGTAAGACCACTTCAATAATGTAGTGGATGGACAGAATAGTCAAATTTTCACTGGGGTTTGAACCATTCAATTTTCGGAACTTGTTATTTTTCTCATCAGTATATTTTTAAGTCTGTTTTAAAGAAGACACACTTGCCATTATAATTATACAAAAATAAATTAAAAATTTTAAAACAAATGTTATTTCAATGTATTCTAAACTCTTGATAAAAAATGATGGGAAAAATGTCTGTCTTAAATGATGTAATTCATTAAAATATTTGTAACTTTTTTTAATAAAAAAATACATCAATAAACCTGGTATTAAGTATTTTAATTGTTCAATATATGCTGATTTTGAAGATAAGAAAAATATTTAAAAACTCTTTTTCTCTTTTCTAATAAAACCATTATATACTATTCAAAAAAAGTAGGGGATATTTGATTTTTAAGTGTTATTAAAGTCACCTAATGAAACTGACGAAGAAACAAATGACAAAATGAAATGAAGTTCACATTCATCGATTTATTCCAAATGATCGTTAGACTAAGTAAGGCACAGACTGACCATTATAAGGGTAAAATGATACCCGGGGTTAAACAGCAAAGTTACCACAGCATCACAACCAAGTCAGTAACGGGTAAATCCTCCTCTGTTTGCCAAACAAGCATTGATCCGACGTGGCATACTCCTAATGAGACGTCTAAGGTCATTTTGGTCCAGATTGTCCCATTCCTATTGCAACGCAGCAGCAAGTTCTTGGGACATTGGCGGGACGTTGTTGACGTTGACGTAACCTCTGTCCAAGCATGTCCCAGACATGCTCGATGGGGGAGAGGTCGGGACTCAGTGCTGGCCAAGGTAATGTGGTGATGTTCTGTTGTTGGAGGTAACCTGTAACGATCCTGGCCCTGTGACATCTTGCGTTGTCATCCTGGAAGATGAAACGGCGGCCATGACGTCGTGCGAACGGCACAACATGGACTGCCAAGATGTTGTCCCGGTAGTACTGGCCTGTAACACGCCCTGCAACAACATGTAAAGCCGTTCTTCCAGCAACAGTGATGCCTCCCCACACCATAACAGAACCACCCCCAAATCGATCATGTCTGATGACGTTAACGTCTTGGAAGCTCTCGTTTCGACGACGCCACACCCTCCTACATCTGTCCAAAAAATCAACAGTGAACCTTGACTCATCTGAAAACATCACATTGCTCCAGCGTCGATTATCCCAGTGTTGACGATCCCTACACCAACGACGTCTTGCCTGAATGTGATGATCTCTCAAACAAGGGATCACGCGAGGACGTCGGGCGCGAAGGTGACCCCTATGCAGTCGATTCCGAATCGTCTGGCCACTCACTCTCACACCAGTGTCTGTTTGAAGACGAGCGCTGATCTGATTTGCTGTGATGACACGATTTCTCAAGGCCAAGGTACGGATAAATCGATCCTGGGCTTGAGTTGTCGCCCTTGGTCGACCTGAGCGTGGTCTGTCCTGTACAGATTGTGTATCACGGTATCTGGACCATAGCCTGCTTATGACAGACTGAGAAACATTCATCGTCCGCGCCACAACCGCCTGTGTTGTGCCGATCTGTAGCATGCCAAGGGCTCGTAACCTTTCATTTTGGGTAAGCCGACGCATATCAAAATTTGTTTTCTGGTCACTAAAACAATTAAACTGATGTTTCCACCCTGGAATTCAATGCCACAATGACTGTAACATTCAAAGTCAGAGTCGTGCAAATCTTGGGTTGGACCCCCATGATGATCCCAAGCATCACCTGCATTCCATGCGGTAGCTATTGGTGCGTTTGGGCGTCACATGTAACTGGAAATGTTTCTTCTGTTAGGTTCTATAGTGACTTTTTTCGTAGTCATTTGCATATTTTAGTATTATGCCCCCAAAATCAAATATCCCCTACTTTTTTTGAATAGTATATTTGTTAGATACCCACTGGTACACTTTATAATAAAACATGCCATGTATGTTGCTGTCCAGGCTGTTTCGGTCCATTTCATTCTAGAAAATCTATTATGTCTTATCCTTTTTTAAGATGGAAATTTACTATATTGACAAATTTAACCCTATTTTAAAGTATAAATATTCAATGTTTTTGATATTATTATAGATAAAGATTTACTTTCTACCAAAGATAAATTAGAACAACAAATAGCATCATTAAAATCATCTGTCATCGAACAAAGAGCACAAATAGATATATTAGATAATGCTTTAACAACAGTACAGGCTAATGTACATCTAGAAGATGAGGTAAGAATTTAAAATTTGACACAATTATTAATCACCCTACAAAAAGAAGTCACAATTTTTATATCTCCCTTGAAAGTTGACGTTTTACTTCATAACTGCAGTCTATTGATGAAAAATCAATTTAGCTGATAATGACTGACAGTCTTATAAAGTTGCAATGTCACGGCCAGTGTATTGATTAAAGATACATTATGGGAGATTAGATAAAGAGCTGGCAGTTCTCACTATAATAGTTAAAAATTAGATAATGTAAAGGGAATTTGCTGAAAATTTCAGTCAAATTGATCCACTGTGAACCGAGAATTTAGCAATTGAATTTTTGGCCTAGCCTCGATCATCATTACTGAAGTCGGTACAATAAAAAAAACAGTCTCGATTATCCATTTCATGATTAAATTATGAATGGAAGTTGAGCAGCAAATCGGATCCTAATCCAATAAATATCGCAGATTAGCAAGTAGCAATGAAATCGAGAGTTGATTATGGTCTGAATAAGTTAATTAATGTCTAATTGATAATTTAGATAACATTTCAGGCCTAAAGAAAGACCTGAAATAGGCAGATTTAGCTCTTGCATAATGTATGGTTAAAAGCAGAATAATTTCTTTGACTTGTTATACATTACTAAAACTCTGTATTAAAATGCTAAAAAAAGGAATAAAGATAAGAAATTAAAAGTTTTCAAATAAGATCTGTTTAAGAATATATTAAAACTTATATTCCGTTGAGCATAATTAGGTTATCTGAAAAAATGTAGGATATTTATGATGACTGACAAATTAGAATATAGACTCAGATTTTAGGACAGGTACAGTACGGAGATCCTAAAAGTTTGACTTCAAAAGAAACCAACTGACAGAAAATAAACGCCCATTTTACAACCAATTGTTACCCTGTTGTAGTTGTCTTAACAGTACGACTTGTATTGTAAATTGTCAGTAGTAAAAATGACCAAAAAAGGTTTGACATCTTTTTTAAAAAAACAATCACAATTGTTAATATGATTCTGATATGCAAACGGTTGGCATTCAAGAAGGGTCATAATGGTTTGTTCTTTGCATGTCAATCAATTTGGGCGTTTCGGTTAAAATTAAATGTAAGGGAAATTTTCAAAAGAGATGTCTTGTAAAAATAACCCGTATTTATTATTCAAATATTTTCTCAATTAGCAGAATGTCATAATAAAGAAAACAACGTAACACTTACAATATGACTAACTACGAAGTTATTCGTCGACGTTTCACGAGGTTGTTTGTATTGGGCTGGACACCCCCGCCCCATCCCTACATGTAATACCAATATGTAACGAGAAATTGTGATTACTGTTTTACGGTAAAAATCGATAATTATGGTCTATTGCATGAATATGGTCAGCTGTTTGTATGTTGCATTCATATTATTGAACGGGTGTCTGAAAACTCGTCCACAAGCAAACACGTACGCAGTTAAGTCGTCCACAGGGGGTATTGGTTATGTCGTACAGTCGTCCACATCTAATATTTAATAATTTAATTGTATGGCGTAAATCAGTTGTTTATATTGTTTTATTTACCCAATAATCAATTATCTTGTTTTGGTTTGTGGACCCTTATAGAGGTCATAATTTTTATCCGATTTAAAAAAAACGTATTATTATACCACCATTACACCCTAAGGACGACTGAGTTCGAATTTCGTGAAAATCGGCCCAAAACTGAAAGACAAAATGGCTGCCCCTCGTTCTCAAATTACGTAAAAATATGGTATATCAAGGTTGTGGACCCTATAGAGGTCACAATTTTTATCCGATTTTGTTGAAACTTGAAATATAAGTTTATAACTCAAAGATCTTGGTTCCTTTCAATATTTGCGCATATCGAATTGTAATTTCCTGAATTATGGCCCTTGATTGTAGGAAAAATCACTTTCGTTTTAGCTTGTTTTCTATCCATCTCTCGAAAATGTGGGCGTATCCTGCCTGGCAGCCGCTGGTTTCATCAAATAATGAATTCATTAATCAGTCATGAAGACATATTAAAATTCAATTTGGCACATTTCATTTCATATTTCAGATTTGTCCTTTGGAAGTTTAATCTTCAATACAATAGATTTTTTCAGGGGCCTCATTTGTATTTATATTTCATTTATGTTTTATAAATTCAGTTGTGATGTGCAAAATAATATGATGTAATGTCCTTAAAATTTAATATCATAAGTTGTCACCGAGTGATGAAGTTATTTATAGCAGAGCATATGTATTTACGAGCCTCTTCATTGCCATAATATATCGCTGTTATAAAACCTTTTAACATCCATGTTCTTCGCTAAATTGCTTCATGTATATATATATCAACGATTAGGTTAGGCGATTTATGATAATTAACCTGAAATATGACTGAAAAGTTATTCAATTATATCGACTCCCGCTTCATAATTCATTGAGGTGTAAACAGAGGCTGTTCCGTACCCTCCCTTGTTATCATACAAAGAATATCAAGGCTACGGTGCCCTACACCTGCAAGCTGTTAAAAATCTTAAAACTAAAACCGCTATGTCCCGCCTTAGTCTAAGCACACATTCCCTTGAAATAGAGAGAGAGGGCGATACAAGAATAGACCTGCACATATGCGGTTTTGCACAAACTGCCCTCAACAGAAAGTTGAAAATGAGTATCATTTTCTCATTGAATGCAACCGCTATGAGGAACTCCGTAAGACAATTGTTTATGGGGCATTTGAGACCCAAATGTATCCATTTTCATTCGAAAACATGTTTAACCCACTGTTTGCTCTGGCAAAATAAGGGATGTGGCACCTACTTCTATATAAACCAAAAAATAGATAAATAAATAAATAAACAACAAACAATTCAAAGACCTCTTCACGTTTAGTTTAAGCGACTATGGCATATATTCAAAACTTTGGTTTATATTTTGCACATACTGCCTCAATGTATGTACATGTAAATGTACATTTCATTCACTTTTATGTATCTTTCATCTACTTTTTATATATTTTTCATCCATTTTTTTTTTTTATGTATTTTTCATCCATTTTTTTTTTTATGTATTTTTCATCCACTTTATAATGTATTTAGCATGCTGACTGTAATGTATTATTTACATGCTGCCCGAAAAGGGAGTTTTATGTAATAAAATCTATCTATCTATTTATCTACAATTTCAACCAATCAGCAAGCTTGCTTGCTCAGATTTCATACCGGTATGGCGAAATGGAACAGCCAAAGATTAAAAACACATAAATAGGGATGGCGACGATTTTCGGAAGTTAGTTTCATGACAGTGTTCATTAAGTACAAATTATCAATTATTACAACTACCAAAATATCAGGTCGCCACACGGGCTAATTGATTTTGAATTTCAATCGCCCGTACTGACTTTTACTCGCCATGGGCGACCGGGCGAGCGTTAGTTTTTTATCCCTGTTAAGTATTCTTTTCACACGGTGCATACGCCAACCTTTAAGTCTGTACTGATTCAAAAATTGAATTATCTCATATATCTACATATTTTAAATCCCGAGTTTTATCATAAATAAATTTAATATAATCCCTTGTAACCTACTGGTAATACATGATGTATATTGTAGGTGTGCTATGACAACAGCACCTATTTTGTGTGAAAATCCAGATTGGTGGCGTCCCAATTGTAATTGTTCTTTAATAATTTGTCAACTATTTTGGATAATGATTACTTACCGTACTGACAATTCAGAATAAAAATATTTTCTACAAGAATACGACATGGTAACAATTTGTTGTTAAAGAGGCTTCTACTTTAGTCAATTATCAATTCCTTTTGATGGCATGTGTGAATTCACGTAATTAATTAGGAATCTTGACTGACAGTATGCATTGACTCAGACTCTTTGGTGCCAAAATGAAAAAGCCATCAAGGTTTTATCCGACTGATATGTGTTAATGTACATGTGTTCAGCAACCCTAGAAGAGATATTTGTAGACTTATATCGAAGCTAAGGGTGAAAGAGCGGCTGCGAGACTACAAACACCAAGTCATCATCTGTGAGTGCGGAGAAGAATGTACCGCCAACCATGTCCTGGTAGACTGCGAGGTATACGAGGAGGAGAGAAGGGAACTAGTGAGAACAATGGAGACCAACAACATACCATTCAAGACTAAGAACCTACTCTTCCCGAGACCAGATCTGAAACTGCAAATCTTCGAACAAATCCACGCCCTAATGGACACAGTTGGACTAAGTAGAAGAGTGAAGTAAGAGGGGGTCACGGTTAGACGGGCCCGGCATCTAAACACTAAACTACATAGGGGATTTATACCAAACTGGCAGGATAGTGGAGTAAGGGGGAGTCACGATCAGACGGACTCGGCATCTAAACACTATTCCACCAAAAACAGACTCCAAACCTACAGAGTGGGATAGTGGAGTAAGGGGAGGTCACGATAAGACGGGCCTGGCACCTAAACACAAACCCCACAAAGATGACATCTACCAAACTAGCAGGATAGTGGAGTAAGGGGGAGTTACGGTCAGACGAACATGGCACCTAAACACTATTCCGCAAATAAAACGGATACCAAACCCAGACAGTGGAGAAAGACGGGCCTGGCACCTAAACACTAACCCCAAACGATGACATCTACCAATCCAGAAGCAGACGAGATCATCTACCAAACGATATGTTTTGTATTAAAAAAAGGGAAGAACTTCCCACTAAACCAAATCCATGGCCTAAGGCCAAATGGAAAGATTGCAAAATCATATTCTAAAAAACAGGAATCAGCTTCGGGTCTCCTATATCTTGTCTGCGATATCACTTATGTGGAAGCAGACGTTAAACACCAAGAACGAACGACGATGTGTTTAGCAAGGTTGACGGTGACTTCTTGCTATGTGTGCTTAAAAACAGGACATGAAGGCATTTAACTCATTTGTGATTTAAACCCGAAGATATATTACTTGTTCAGTTGTGATTTATCAATTTAAAATGCATTGTGTGACTTATTTGTCAGAATGGAAATGGCTGTTTTGATGGACAAAACTTTCGCCCACGGTAAGACCAGCATCTATGTGCGTAAATTTTGAAATTTTCGTAATTTGAATGAGTTTGAAATAGTCGATCAAGTCTTAAAAATGTTGAACATATTGATGAAGTAATGTATCGGTACAGCCATAATTCTGTTAATTTTATTATTTAAAAGCCTCTTTGATTGTAACATCGTGGCAGTATATCTTTTTGACATCATTTGTTTATGACTGATAAATATCGTTAATTTTACATATCAAATTACACCGAGGCCTCTCGTGTCACGCGACTATAGTGGCACACGATAGCGACTGCTACACTGAGTTTTTTATCGTGGCAATTTTCAACAAAAAACGACACGATAATCGCGTATGTTCAAACTTTCTCCATCTCCATACTGTAAGTAAACAAGTAATCATCACACTGTGTCGATCATTGACCCTAGGGAGACACAACTCTACAAAATGCATTTTGAAAAAGCTCACTTCTAAGAGGGCTATCAACTTGAAAGTTTCAGGAATTATTCAAATAGCCAAAATAAGGCTATTCAGCAGTTTGGGGGAAATTTGCTTTATTGTTTACCATGGTAAATGTTTTTGTTAACATATCCTAGTAGTTTGGATATGTATTTAAGATCACAACTGTTAAAGATACGTTATGTAAGATTTAGATAAAGAGCTGTCTGTTCTTGCTATAATAGTTCTAAAATAGATTATTCAAAATTAATACATTATTCTGAATGATGTTAAATCACTGAAGTTTTGACAAAATGTTGCATAGATTATTTATTATCATAGCAACTTTACTTATTAATCAAGACACAGCCTTGCTTGTCCATTTTTATACGCCCACATTTTATTGTGGACATATATTATTGTCGACCCTGTCCGTCCGTACACAATTTGTGTTTATGGACGTGGACACTCTACAGGTCATAATTTTTATCTTGATTTTGACGAAACTTGAAATATAGGTCTATCTCTCTTGGTTCCTTTTTAAATTGGTATGTATCGGACCATAACTTCATGGATTATGGCAACCTGATTGGTTCATATCGGATCATAACTTCCTGAATTATGGCCCTTGATTTACGAAAAATCGTGTTTATAACTTGTAGCCCGTCTAGAAGTCACAATTTTTATCTGATTTTAAAAATTGTTTAAATGTATCATTGTTGCACCATAATGTAGGTTGAGTTCAAATTTCGTGAAAATCGGACAAGAACTGCTGGACAAAATGGCCGCCTCTTGTACGCACATTACTGTAAAAATATGGTATAATTTCGTGAAAATCGGACAAGAACTGCTGGACAAAATGGCCGCCTCTTGTACGCACATTACTGTAAAAATATGGTATAACAAGATTGTGGACCCTCTAGAGGTCACAATTTTCATCCGATTTTGATGAAACTTGAAATGCATGAGGATAACCCAAAGATATTGGGTTACTTTCGATATTCGTGTATATCAGATCCTAACTTTCTGAATTATGGCCCCTGATTATAAGAAAAATCATGTTTTTATCTGATTTAAAAAAAATGTTCGAATATATCACCGTTACATCATAATGGCGGTTGAGTTTGAATTTCGTGAAAATCGGACTGAAACTGCACGACAAAATGGCCACTCTTTGTACGCAAATTGTGTAAAAGTATGTTGTGGACCTTCTAGAGGTCACAATTTTTATCTGATTTTGATGAAACTTAAAATATACCTTTATATCTCAAAGATCTCAGTCCGTTTTGGATTATAGCCCCTGACTGTACGAAAAATCGCTTTTGTTATTAGCTTGTCCTGTATCCATCTCTTGCAAAATGTGGGCGTATCGTATCTTGCCTTGCAACTGCTGGTTAAATTAAATGGCGATCCTATTTCAATCCTTTTACATCTCCACCATCCAGTGGTTTAGAGTGGTGATTATAGTCTGGTCATATGAATAAATGTCTAAATAATAATATATATAACATTTGAAGCCAAAATATAAACCTGCAATTGACTGATTGAGCTTTTACATAATGCATCCTTAAGGAAATATATTATTTAAATTGACTAAAAAGAATAATTTTTATTTTTTTTTTTGTCATGTTAACAGAGTGGTAAGAAAGAAGTATATGGTAGTCGAGTTGATCAGTTACAAAAAGCTTTCGCTTCATTACAAACAGTTTCGGAACGTCGAGAACAAAAAGAAAAACAACTTCGTCTTAAATTAGAAAAAGAAATAGAAACATTAAAAAAACAGTTAAAGGTAAGTGAATATAAACAGAATTGAAGAAAATTGAAAAAAAATTACTTTGGGGATAAAGTATAGAATTCAGTTCTCCCAATCCAACCAAGTCTGTTCATTGACAACATGAAGATCAGATCACATTAATTATTAGACCTTATTGTAGTGTAAATAATAAAAATAATCTCACTTAAACATACATTATGCAAGAGCTAAATCTGCCTATTGCAGGTCTTTCTTTAGGCCCAAAATGTCATATAAACTATTAATTTGACATTTATTAAGATGGCAAGACCATAATCAACTCTCGATGCCATCGGATATCTCCGATATTAAGTAGATTAGAACGGTTCAGTTAATCTAGTTAACTGGCATGGTTTCGATTCCCTGGTTGTACGTGACAAGGAGTAGGGTCGCCTGTCCACCTCGTGGGTTTTCTCCGGGTCCTTCAGTTTCCTCCCACTGCTAAAGACCCTTACACGCAAGTGAATTATTGAAATAAAATTGAACCATATGTTAGTCCCCAAATGACCTAGTTTGTGTCGAGTGGACATTAAACTCTCTCTCTCTCTCTAAAAATGGAAGACTTAGCTTTGAACAACCTTCAAAGGCTAATATCTTTGCTCGCAATAGAGTAATTTGAATGAAATTTTCAAATTATTCATTTTACATTATCTGTTTTAGAACTATTATAATTTACAGCAAGAATGGCTAGCTCTTTATCTAAATCTTACATAATGTATCTTTAACAAAACATTCAAAATTATTCTTTAATTTTATACAACCCTTTTATTCTTGCCAGAGCATGATGTTTTAATGAACTTTTTAATTATTTATGGTAATTATTTTTTTATTATCAGGCCTCGGGTAAACAACGTGAAGACAGTAATCCTGATACCACTGATGCAATAACTTTGAAACGTATGATCAACGAAAGAGATGCTAAGATTTTACAGCTTGAAACAGAGCTTGTCAAGGTAAGCATTAACTTAAATTTTGAGAAAAGGTTGTAGATTAGTATTTATTATTGTTTTTAGACTGAAAACAAAATGTATATCATTTCCACCATGGTGACACTTGATATAAAAGGAACTGTTTTCTCACATATTATTGTAGCAGTAGGTTTTAGGAACTTCTGTTTCTAATTCAAACTTTTGTTATCATACCCCAGAAAACAGGGAAATTTTTATCGTTCAATCTCGTGAAAGACAAATCCTTGTAAATATTAGTACATGCCTGAATTTTAGAAACTGTTCAAATAAAATTACGAAGTGACAACAAATATGTATTTCAAGCACTAAAAACACCTATGTTATTTTATGAAAATATATGGCGGACCAAAAAATAATTATCTGTTCTTTCAGTGGGAACAAAAATGGTTGGAAGAAATCACAATGAGACAATTTGCTTTACAAGATAACTCACCAAAATTTGCTGACATTGAAAAAAGTTCGGCTGATGCAGAAAAGCTGATCAACGAAGCTAAAACTGAGAAATTACGTCACATGGAAGAATTATATCAAGCCAATAGACGTGTTGCAGAATTGGAAGCAAGGTATAGTGTTATTATTCACTTACTTTTCGGTTATTCATTTAAATGTAAAAAAAAAAAAAATGTCTTAATGAAAATTGACTGCAATTTTGACTCGCCTACAAATCTGTATGTTAATTCAGCATAGATCATTAAAAATGTAACTGTGGATGACAAAGCCCTTTACAATGCCATAACAAAAAAAATTAGAACTGCGAAGCAGTAATGACGGGTTTCACTGGTGCCACGTTACCCTTGAACTTATGCCATTTTCGGTGCCACGTTACCCTTGAACTCATATCACTTCCAATACCAATGGAACCGATAAACAGATTTCCACATAAACATTGCAGACGTGTTAAAAAATGGGCACAGAATCAATCAAACCCAGCAATATCAATTTCATTCATACATTTGTTACCATGTGTTACATATGTCAAAAAAGTTATCCTGGCAAAATTGTGACCCAGTCCAGCAAAATGAGTCACAGTGACCCAAAAACACAAAATGAGTTATTGATCATAGTGGTAAGCTGGTGAAATTAGCTTCAAAATGGTGAAAAATTATCATTCTATCATTAACGGTCACACACTTATGGCAATTTTAATAAGTTGTATGAAATAGTAATATTTTTCTTAAGTTTTGCATAAAACGCCTCCAAAGTGAAAGTCAATTTAATGTGGTAAAGTGTTCAGTAAACACATATATATTATGTCAAATGTTTTTTTTTCATTTATTAGTAGGCCACCAAAATATGATAAAACATATTTATGACAGGTTTCAGCATAATTTTATTATTCAAACATGAAAATGATGGTTGCCTTGACAACTGATACTGAATATGCTGAAACATGATATTGATTTCAAATCAATCTAAAATTAACAACTGATTATGAAATATTTACACAGATACTGATATACAAGATAAATTTTACAATTCAAGTTAATAATGACATGCACAAAAGTTTTAATTATTGTGGTTGCCATGGAAACCATAAGTGCACAAAAGTTTTAATTATTGTGGTTGCCATGGAAACCATAAGTGTCCAAACAAGATACTGTTAATCACAGCTAATTAATACAAATTACAATCCAAACTCATTGTAAAAAGTTCAAATCAAAATAATACAGTTAACAATCAAAACTATTGTTGTTGCCATGGAAACCAATAGTATCCTTACAAGACACTGTTAATGATACTCAAATTACTTCAGATTATTACATATTTACAGTTCAAATTAATAATGAAATGTACAAATCTTCCAATCAGTTTAATATATCGAAATCATTGTTGTTGCCATGGAAACCAATAGTGTCCCAACAGGACACTTTTAAACATAGTCAAATCATTAATTAATACAAATTACAATCCAAACTCATTGTAAAAAGTTCAAATCAAAATAATACAGTTACCAGTTAACAATCAAAACTATTGTTGTTGCCATGGAAACCAATAGTATCCTTACAAGACACTGTTAATGATACTCAAATTACTTCAGATTATTACAAATTTACAGTTCAAATTGATAATGAAATGTACAAATCTTCCAATCAGTTAAATATCAAAATCAGTGTTGTTGCCATGGAAACCAATAGTGTCCCGACAGGACACTTTTAAACAGTCAAATCATTTTAGATTAATACAGTTTTACAGTTCAAATTGATAATCAATTGTACAAAACTTCCAATCAGAAAACAGTCATTGGTTAACAATCAAAATTAATGTTGTTGCCATGGAAACCAACTAGTGTCTGAACAAACATTGTTAAAGATAGCCAAATTATTTCAGATTATTACAAGTTGATAATGAAATGTGCAAAAGTTCTAATCACCAGTTAACTATCCAAATTATTGTTGTTGCCACGGAAACAAATAGTGTCCCAACAAGACACTGTTATCCATAGTAAAATTATTTTGGATTACTGCAGTTTTCAAATTCAAGTTCCAATCAGAAAAATACAAGTCACCCGTTAAAGGAGCTAAATCGCTAATATTTGGGACCTAGTATTCATTGCGCATGCTGCTCTCTAGATAAGAATATAGCGTCACCATTTTACATGACTTGTGGAATATGTTTAGCCTCGTTCATCGAGTGCCTTCTTACAAATGATGCTGAAACACATTACGGTACACGATTCGTGTACCAATGGTAAAATATATATTTTTTTCTTAAATATTGGAGATCAGAAGCTCACCTTTTCCTGGTAAGATCACAGCATCAATGTTGATTTAAATTGAAAAAAAATTCGTATTTTCAATGTCGAAGAATTTGGATAATAATGAGTTAGAGACTTAGCTACTTTAACAATCAAAATTATTGCCATGGAAACCAATAGTGTCCCAACGAGACACTGTTAATCATAGTCAAATTATTTTGGATAACTACAATTTTCCAATTCAAGTCAATCAAGTTGATAATGAAATGTACAAAAGTTCAAATAAAAAAAAACGCAGTTGTTCTTGCCATGGAAACCAATAGTATCCCTACAAGACACTGTTAATCATACTCAAATTAGTTCAGATTATTACAAATTTACAGTTCAAATTGATAATGAAATAATGTACAAAACTCCCAATCAGTTAACAATCAAAATCGTTGTTGTTGTCATGGAAACCAACAGTGTCCCAACCGGAAACTGTTAATCATAGTCAAATTATTTCCGATCAGTACAGTTTTATGTTTCAAATTGATAATGAAATATACAAAAGTTCAAATCATAAAAACACATCTCACCAGTTAATTACTCCTCAAATTTTCTTATCTTGCTAGGGGGCACAATAATTTCTTCATCTTGTCTGATTTTGATTCGTTTGCACTTGGCACTGGACAGGTGATGTCTTGTGTTTCACAAGTGCAGAATTTTCTGATGTTTCTGTAAAGGTATTGCTGCCTTTCTAAGGGCAACCCTGGAGGGGCAAGTGACTCTGGTCTGTCTGCAGGCGGCAGTAATGTTGCTTTCTGCAGACATACTCCAACTTCCAAAGAGGAAGTAAATTCCTTCTTAAATACCCATCCTGGGTTTTCACTGTCAAATCTGAAAGAACATTGATGAGTAAATAAAAATACTGTAGTATGTTACTAATGATATTAACTGTGCTCAAATTAAAAGTGCATTGTTTTATACACAAATGAAATGAAATAGGTTTACGATCCTACTTTTCTGCATCAATGGGGCTAATGAAAACTGGTATGCAATGTGCTATGAGGGAAAATGTGTGCGGACAGCAGTGCTACAGCCTCCTCTTATTGCAAATGCCATCAGGTCAAGGGTTCTTTAACATGCATACAGATCTCTTTTTCGTCCATACAAACAACCAGACGCTGTTGCTTGCTAGACCCTGGGGGGTTGGATGGCCGAATGGTTAGCACGCGTGCGCTGTATCACACGGTCTGTCATTGAGTCAACTGTCGGGGTTTTGATTCCCCAGTTGTACGTGACAAGGAGTAGGGTCGCCTGTCCAACCTCGTGGGTTTTCTCCGGGTCCTCCTGTTTCCTCCCACTGCTAAAGTCCCTACGCGCAAGCGAATTATTGAAATAAAATTGAAACATTTGTTAGTTCCAAAATGACCTAGTTTGTGTTGAGTGGATGTTAAACCCCATTTCTCTCTATCTCTCTTTGCTAGACCCTCCATCCCGCACCATTGTCAAAGGAAAACCTGGCTGAAAAATCATTTTTATACACACCTGAAATGTTGATATTTCTTTATCCCGGGTAGACTACGGAAGTAAGGATGCAAAAAGGATTGCCAGTCCCTTTGTTGTACCAAGATGTCACCATTTTCATGACCAACAAGTTGAGCTTTATTTACTCCAGTAGAAGTGCTCGTCTTGACTACTTCTGAAATTTCATCTAAACAAGAAACCATAGTTCTCCGATAAGTTTGCTTTATTAGTCCGAAGGCCCAATCAGGTGCAAACTTTGTATAACCACTGATCAGAAAGTTAAGTGTAATAGACTTGTGAAGTCCATGGATTACACGCCATAACAAGTATTGCAAAAGAGCATTGTTTTTATTTTGGCCGCAACAGTTATCACAATGCAGTTAGAGATGCATTTCTCCAAGACCATAATTACAAAAAAAGTGATCTAGATAACTTATAACTGCATTTGATCCCTTTGTTATGCACATTCCCTCATCTATTAAATAATTCACCTGCCTCGGCAGAGCTTCACAATTAATGCCAAACAACCCACACTTGCGAGGGGTTAAAAAATACATCGGGCCTGGTTGAAGCGGATTGGAAGGGTAATGCACTTGCTGTGCAAAATCAAACGAGTAGTGCATTGTTATATCTCGTGTTGCTGGACTTGTTGTTTCAAGTTCATTTACTCCTATGTTTTTCAAAACATCTTTTGCCTTCTGTACCATAGAATTATACAGAGAACGTTCAAGTGTCACTTTCAGAATGTGTTCTTCTTGTGTTTTACACCTCACAGACTTTTCCTGATCTGACATGTTAGCACTCTTATAAATCAGTGAATTGTTTTGTTGACAAACCCAACAAAGATCTGTCATCGGCTTGGTTCGGACTATAAACGGCACAAGTGTATTCCAAAGCCTCCGAAAACCCACAATATTCACTACCCGTTCGCCTAAAAATATCAAAAACCAAGGAAATTAATCTTGACATAGAAAATTAAAATTATATATGAGCTTACTACTATTACTAGGACGAAAACCAGGTTTTGTTGACATGCACGTAAAAGAACCCATGACAGTCAAAATTCGAATAAGAGTAGGCAATAACAACGAAGTTCGGGCAAAATTACCCTCATAGAACACTGTATGACCTCTTAATTAGTCCTGTTGGTGTAGACAAGTAGAACGTTAAACCCATTTCTTTTCATCTCATTTTGTATGAAGTGGGAAGCCAAAGAAAGAGCTAGCTTACTAACCAGGGGGACACGGGTTTGATCCCGACGTGGGCCCAGAAAGTTCATCGGCTTTCTCATTGTCAGTGGTGCAAGTCAGAGAACCTGACAAGGAACAGTGTCTAGTCATTCGGATAGGACGAAAAACCATGGTCTTGTTTACATCTTGGCATGCACATAAAAGAACCCTTGGCAGATGTAATTTGATGAAGATTAGTAGAAACGCCGATGTCTGGACAAAATTTCCAACATAGCATTAGCCCGGTTGAAGCAGAAAAGTAGGATGTCAAACCCCATTTCATTTATGTATGATGTGGTATCATGCTTGTATAAAAATTTTGAAACCAGCGGTTGCCATGCAAGATACTCCCACAATTTGCAAGAGATGGATAGAGAACAAGCTAGAAAAAAAAATGTGATTTTTTGTACAATCAGGGGCATAATCCGGGAAGTTATGATCTAAAATGCCTCACTATTGAAAGGAACTGAGATCTTTGGGATAAACTTACTTTAAGTTTCATCAAAATCAGACAAAAATTGTGGCCTCTAGTACTACAGTAGGTCAACAACCTTCGTATTACATACTTTCACACAAGTTGCGTACAAGGAATGGCCATTTTGTCTGGCAGTTTCGTTTTGATTTTCCCGAAATTCAATCTCAACCTTCATTATGATGTAACGGTGATATTTTGATAGCTTTTTTAAAATCGGATAAAAATTGTGACCAGTTGACACTGAGGGTCCATAAGCTAAAAATGCGATTTTTCTCACTATGTGTATCAGGGGCCATAATCCATGATGTCATAGTCTGATATGAGCGATTATCGAAAGAAACCAAGATCTTTAGGATATAATTATAAACATACATTTTAAGTTTCATCAAAATCGGTTAAAAATTGGCCTAGTAGGTCCACATCCTTGGAATTACATGCTTGCATAATATTTGCGTATAGGGGATCGGCCATTTTGTCGGAGCTTTGTCCTATTTTCATTAAATTTGAACTCAATCATCATCAGGGTGTAACAATGAAATATTTAAACGATTTTAAAAATTGAATAAAAATGTGACGTCTGTAGGGTCCATACTCCATAGGCTACAATCGTGATTTTTACGTACAACCAGGGGCCATAATCCATGAATTTACGGTCAGATACATGCCAATATCACAAGGAACCAAGATCTTGGGGATATAAACCTATATTTCAAGGTCCGTCAAAATCGGATAAAAATTGTGACCAGTAGAGTGTTCACAAACAAATTGTGGACGGACGGGTAGACAGACGGGTAGACGGACGTTCTCACGGACAGCAATGTCCACATTGTAAAATTAATTGTTTTCGAACATTAATACTGTCTATAGGCCTCCATACCTGCTTCTTTTCTTTCATTGCTGTCTGATATGACAAAAACACCTTTGATTTTGTGTAATGAGATGGAAGTAGCTTGATATCAAATCTTTTAAAGCCTGGAACTCTTCCCGGCAACACTAAAGCATGAAGCTCAGCAAAGTTAATAATGAAAGTAACCACTCTACAAATATCATCATGAGTTAACAAACGTTTATCACTAGCATGTCTACCACCAGATTTCTTCTCGCGTGGTGTTAAACCAAATTCTTTGTAGTGTTTTAATAGAGCTGTAAGCTCGTTCTGGCTTATGCTGAAAAATTAAAACAAATGTGTAAATTTTTTGTAGGTTTTTATTAGAATTTAAACTTACTGTAGATATATTAATAATAATATATTCAAGATACCAGTAATATTGTTGTGCCGGTGGGATTTGGATAGAATATCTTTTGAATGAAGCAAGGTGGGAGCTTGAGTCCCGTGAGTAGGACTCAAGTCTGACTTAAATCGCAATAAAGACAGGTTTGCGATTCGACTTGAAATATTTATTGCGAATTGACTCTCCATCGGGCTATCGGATCATGACAACACGCGACTTGAAGGAGCTAATTACTCAAGTTGTGGTGAGGAGACATAAATCTTTCTAGCCTTATTTGCCACGAATTGCTGACTCCTCTGATGAATTGGCGACTTGAATGGGACTTGACAATAAACTCAGCAAGTTAGGACAAGACTCGGACTCGGGGTGCGCAAACTTTGACTTTATTAAATATTATATTATAGTTTTAAAATTAAATGTAACTATGGGGTTTGTTTAAAAAAAGACTAAGCTTTGACTTTACATTATTGTCATAAAATGTATGCTATTAAGATTAAGCTATAGTATTAACTTAGGCCTAATAATAATTATTTTGGTTATAAAAACAAAGGCAAAACTCTCACCAGTGAAGAAACTTGAATCCCATTAACATAGTGTTCTGTTCGCTGGTGTTTATGTTCCTTTTGTTGCTTTTTCTTCGATGACTGTGTGTAGGGATCATTCCTAAAAACACAACTTATTTTGCCAAGCAAAATCAGGTCCTTTTCAAAATCAGACAGCGATGACATGATCAGTCTTAATTCATAAACAAAATCCTTGCTAAATAACATAAAACAGGGTTCACCATTATTAAGTTTGCAGTTCTTACAGCTATATGCTTCAATCTTTTTCATTTCAAGATCCTTTACATCTAATATAGCAGTATTATTTACTTCTGTTGAGGATAATACCTTTTCCACTTCATCAATTACAGGTAGGCCTAGCTGAACACCCACGTCATTTTCATTTTCAATGTCGATGTCAGAATCACAAGAAGAACTTGTGTCATTGTTTTTATCAACAAAGTTTGAAGAAAATTCAAAATCAGAATCATGTTTGTCTACAATAACACTATCTTCGTCATCACTGGTAACTGATTCATCTGACGATGCCACACAATCGTCAATACTAAAAAAGTCTGTCACTAGATCACGGAATTCCTTTTTGTCCACCGCTTCGTGCAGATTACATGATGTCAGATTAGAGTTCAATGATCGGGCAATATTCGCCTCCTTAGAAAATTCCATACCTCAAAGTTCATATATTACATAAACCACGATTGCATATTAATATTCTAAAAAATTACGGTGTATTTTACTTAATGTAAGAAATGTCGAAACTTAGAAAAGCGAAAGTTGGTTTTGACAGCGAAGACATTATTATTATTAACCATTTGTCATGCGCAAACCCGGTACTGCGAGATTTTAGCCAATCAGCGCATTTCAATTCGGGTCGTGAGCTCATTTGGTCATCGACCCAGCAGACGATTGTTTATGTCGGATAGTGCTTTCTAATTGGATGATAACGTCTAAATATAGTCTTTATATTTACATATAAGGTTAGAGGGATTCCCAAGCGTCATGTAGATACCCGGATTAAGGGGATTTCCCTAATGAATGCCGTTGCATGTAACGCTGGAGTTTTGTTGATTTTTGCCTTTTTATCTCTCAATTTTCTTTTCTTTATATTGAGTTGACCTAATAAATGGTAAAATAAGATTATTTATCGATGATATCTTGACTTGAGACTTCGGGAGATCAAAGTAGATAGGTTTAAGTACCCAACGGCGTGATAAAAATTTTTTCGAAAATTTCAATGCATTTCACATATTTCGGCCTGCAGCTCAAAATCACCGACTGCGACTTCCGACTCATTTCGCTGGATTGCGTCACAATTGTTATTTCTCGACAAGCTATTTTTGGACATCTATATGATCTTATTGATTCAATCTATATGTCCATTGGAGTCAAATATCATAATGTAAAACGAATAATAAATATAACTCACTTCAAAAAAAAAATTCGTTTTCGGGGCTAAAAATACAGTTTTTGCAAAAATGACATTGCTTCCGGGGATAAAGAAAATGTTAAATTAGTTCTATGAAATCATAAAAGGCATAAGGCATCACATGGTTAAAATATTATGAATATCGAATAATAATTGCCACTTTTATAGACCAAAAACCTTTAAAAGTGACTTGTAGAATATCCTCTATTTTTCTGCAACCGTACAAGTTAGAAACCATTTTGTGGTATCTGTATGAATGTATGGGTTAATATCATAATTTTAAAAACTTTACAAATCAGACTCATTTGAATAAAATATCTGTTTTGAAGGCTAAAAAATACAGTTTTTGCCACAATGACATTACTTCCGGTGATAATGAAAATGTTGAATTAGTTCCATGAAATCATAAATGGCATAAGGCATCACATGGTGAAAATGTATAAAAATCGAAAAAAAATGGTCACTTTTATAGACCAAAAACCTTGAAAAGTGACTTGTAGAAAATCGTCTATTTCTCTGCAACCGTACAAGTGGTATCTGTATGATCGTAAGGGTTCATTCTATTTGTTGATTGGGTCAAATATCATCATTTTATAAAACGTTACAAACCAGACTCATTTGAATAAAATATGTGTTTTGAAGGCTAAAAATACAGTTTTTGCCCAAATGACATCATTTCCTTTGACAGTGAAAATGTTAAAATGGTTTGGCCTAATCAAAATTGCCATTAGGCATCAAATGGTAAAACAAATTTGAAAATCGAATGATAATTGACTCTTTTACAGGCTAAATAACGTGAAAAGTGACGCATGCAAAATTGCCTATTTCTCGGCAACTGTGCAATACTACAAATTAAATTTCACATACATTATCTTCGTATGGATGATTGCTACAAGTTTATGAAAGTTACGAAGAAATATTTGAAAATATGAAGACACTGGATGGGTTGTAAATAGCTTAATTTTACACCCTTTTTCACCTTTTAATCGAAATAGCCCGAAAATGAAATTGAAATTAAAAAAACTGAGCCTGATGTTTTGTGCGCCTTCAAAGTGCGCACCCTTTCAGTTATACCAAATTTGTAAAAAATAATATCTGCTTTCAAAAAGTGGTACCGAACTGCCGAAATTGTAGTTTTTGGTAAAATTAACTCACTTCCGTTGCCGACAGGAAACTTTAACGGTAACAAAAAAATGACATTTCGGAAAACGGACCTTATGAACTTTCTATTATACAAATCGAACAATAAATAATTAATCTAGGACCAAAAAACTGAATTGGCCAATGACGGCTAACGCGAATAACTGAGAGGGGTGATATAGGCTTTGTCCTGTTCCCCAATCCTTTCAGTTATCTGAATAAATATTGTTTATATTTAAAAAAACGCGAATAACTGAGACAAAAATTGTTCACATTTTTGCTCAAGTCAGATGATCCTTTAATCCTGTGTAAATACCATCAAAAAATATTCATAAATAAAGAAGTTTTTTGTACAAATTTAAATGCGCCTAATATAAACGAAGATTCGTCGAAAATCAAAAATCTGAAGTCTCTGGCTATGTCAAAATGTACCAAATATTAAAATCAGTCGATTATTGTAAATATTACAGCAACATTTGAAAAAACGACAACTTCGGTGATTTCTGACATTTCGCATTGCCGCAGAATGTTCGAAATAGATTTAATCTCTAAGTAATGCTGACTTTTCTGGAAAACCAAAGATATCGGATCGATCTGACAAGTAGTATCTGAGATATGCTCAAGTGGAAAATAAAACGGCCAAAGTGTTGGATGATTGTTTTTTTGGTAAAAACAATCATCACTAGACTTGCTTGCAAGACTGAAGGCTTTCACCCTAGCCAAGGCGTCACACTGTCGCCAGATCCATGACAAAGACTATCCCCACCACTCCCCCCACCCTCCAAATAAAAACACAAATATGCATAACTCAGATATTGACAAGTTCTTTTCATGCGCATTACGATAGAGAAGGGAATTGAAAAATATAGCTGAACAATTCACATCATGATAATCCTAGATCGGTAGAATCGAACAGATGCCGACAATCCAAATATGTAATCGAAAACTCAAAATTCCAAGAAATAACAATATTAGTAAATTTTCAAATTTTGAAGAAAAAATGAGAACGACATGATATCTCACTTCGGTCGTTATCGCATCCGCAATATCCCCAGCTGTACAAAAATATAACTTTTTCGAAAATCGGTTGGGAATTAACATATTTATGGCCGATTTTCAATTTTCGTGCACGTTAAAGATTTACTTCACTTCGGGCCTGTTCATAACTTTCGCGATAGTAATAAGTACTAACAGTTTAAAACATGTGAAAATCAATATTCAGAACTCTACCTGTCACAGTTTCAAAGATCTACACGAATTAGAAAAGGAATAAACAAAACAATTTTCCGAATGGGACAAAAAAGGAATTTTAGGTCTAAGATAACTACCAAAACCTAAAACATACTTACAAGCATTAGATTTTCATTTTTGATGAGAAGAAGGCGACTTCCTTATAAATAGCCGCATCGGATTCCTTTATTTTCAATGGTATCAAGTGATGACGTCATGTAGACAAATGACCTCGCACATAAATTCTACGACTAAATGTTATTTACTAAAATAACTTATTTTCAGCCTAGAAGCACCAATTCCGTATTTTGGTTGACAGTAAAATACCCTTAGTTCAAATATTGCCACTTAAAAAAAGGATCTCTATATATCCTTTATACGTATGCAAAACGTTCCGATTATGACCATTTCGAACTTTTTTGTCGATATACAGTGCCATTTGTTTGGCCACTCTTGATACTTTTGACTGTTGTACGGTGGTTTCATACAGATATATCAATTAGGCTCTCTATAGAAGGAGTTCCCCAAAAAAATATTAGATTGCCTTTTTGAGAAAAAGACCTCTAAACATGCTCGTACAGCGGCGCTAGTCTACTCTTCTTATATAGAATTCCAACTGCCAAGGGATCTTTTACGGTCACACCAATTTGAACACGGGACTTCGGAATCGCGTTCATGTCAGCTACTCAAATATGTAACTGGTTCAAAAATTGATTGAATATTCAATGAAATATCGCCAATTTTCTGGTTTTGTGCACGTAAAAGATTTGACGTCACTAACATATAAAAATTTAATAATAATTTCAGATAGAGTCCATGCTCAAACAACGTCATGCCTTTTATCAGAGGTGCAATATTTTTTTTTTTTCTTGTAAATATATTTATTCAGGTATTATATATGTACAAACATGTTATACATGAATAAACAATGCCATAATACTAATATTCTAAACATAATTACATCTATGTACATGAAAGAGTAAATTACGTGGAAATTTAAAAAAAAAAAAACCAAAAAAAAAACATTATTAATAGGATACGGTATGTACATGTATATACACAGTGTTTACATTAAGAAGTTAAAATATTTATTTACAATTAAAAGGGTGGGCTTATTTACACTCTTTCAAAAATCTAGAATAATATTTTCATCATAATCATAAACAATAAGTAATGATGGATTGATAAAATTGTCAATAAACTTATTCTTATTCTTAAAATATTTACTAAGATAATATAGATTATCCTTCAGTTGGTTTTTAAATAACGAAATAATATTCAATCTATAGTTTATTTTATCTAATACAATCATTCGGCGTTTATATATCGTCTGGCGTGCTGCAGATAAAACAACATCGCACAGTTCAACATGACTAGTCTTGATAGTAGACTGAATTCCTAACAGTAAAACGGATTTAAAATCATTATCATTAATTTTATGCTTTAAAATATCATTAATGATCTCCTTTAACAAGGCAATTAAATTTGAAAGACAATTACATTCTATAAACATATGGAAAATATCTTCTACTTCTGATTTACAAACAGGGCACATATTAGTAATAACAACATTTACTTTATGTAATTTTTCCATAGTCCAAACAATATTATGAGCAATTTTAAAATCTAAATCAATACTCTTATGATTTTTATAGTTCCTAAAAACACTTTTCCATACAAATGGCCAATTAGCATTAATATTGTTCTTCTTCCAATAACTGTAGGATGTGGGTTCAGAAACATAATTTTTAAGTAATACTTTATAAAAGAATTTGGACGTAAGTTCATTAGATTTGACAAGTACATCATTAATTTTAAAAACAACGTCATATCCAGTATTACAAGTATTGTCAAAACACTGGTTTTCTATAATAACCCGCCATGATTCGGGTATTGAAGATATAATTATTTGAAAATACTTTAAAATCTTATCGATATCATAAGTGTAACTGTCATCATTAATAATATCATTTACGGAATGAAATGGAATAAAACCGGGTTTAACATAATAAATAATATCATAGACATATTTAATACCGGATGACTGAAATAATTTAAAATCTAACTTACGACCATTGTGTCTAATAAGGTTATTATTAAATATGGGTTGAATAGAAACTTCTTTAATAGATGTAGGTTCGGGTCTTACATTTTTATTCAAGTCATCCCAAGAATTTAAAATATATTTATAAAATTCGGGTAGTTTAGATAGAGTATTCTTTTCTATATTAAGTTTAAAAATATCATAACCATTCTCAAAGCATGTAGCTTTTGAAAGATAATATTGCATGATACTTTTCCATACATGGTTGTAATTGATATCACAATATTTAATAATCCATTTTAAACTTAAAGCTTGACATTTAAATTTAATATTGGGTAGATTTAATCCACTGTTATTTCACGCTCTACGGCGACTGGTAACGGTAGAACACTCGCTGTATACCACACTTTTGATAACAATAGGGACTGTATCACAATAACTTTACCTGTGAGGGTAATATGTCGTCTGCTCCATAAGCCTAAAAGTTGTTTAATTTTATTAACCTTATTGCCCCAATTTAAACTATTTCAAACATTTTGATTTGTTCATAAATATACACCCAAAATTTCAATAGAATCAGATATAACTTTAACATCAATATTATAATCATACTCTAAATATTCGCTTTTGCCTATAGGCAGTAGTTCGGACTTAGACTTGTTGAATTTGGCTCCAGACGCCTTGGTATATAAATCTAAAACCTTAAAAACAGAATTAACAGAATCTATATTAGATAAAGTTAGATTAGTATCATCGGCATGTTGGTAAATTAAAGACACAATATCAGAATTATATATGGGTATTCCTTTTAAAGGAGATTGCTTAATTAATAAGTTTAAAGGTTCTGCTGTAATGACATATAAAATTGCTGATAATGGGCATCCTTGTCTGAGAGACCTATCTACTTTGAAAAATGGAGATAAATGACCATTGCATTTGACTGTACTATAAATATCTGAATATAAAATCTTGATCCAATTAATAAAATTAACTCCCAACCCAAAGCACTTTATTACGTGGAATAGAAATGCGTGAGACACTCTATCAAAAGCCTTTTCTGCATCTAATTTCAAAATAAATCCTTCTATATCTTCATCATCAGTATAATTAATTAAATCTCTAATAGAGGCTACTGTATCTAATATATTTCTGCCAGGAATAGAGCACGTCTGTTCAGGGGATATAAAAGTATGTATAATATTTCTTAATCTAAGAGACAAACATTTGGATAAAATCTTATAATCTGTATTTAAAAGAGTAATAGGTCTATAGTTGTTAAGATTTCGTCTATCCCCTTTATCTTTATAAACAAGTGTAAGCATTTCCTTTCGCATAGAGCGAGACATAATTTGATTATCATATATAAAGTTAAGAACATGTAAATATAAAGCTTTTAAGTGTTATAGATAATTCATCTAAAGTAATACTTTTATCGCAGAATTCTCTGTCTATAGGTAAAATATTATTGTGTTCAGGGCTGTCGGTAATTTTTCACAGTTGATTAGCAGCACTGCTAATCAAAAAGTCCAATTTTGCCAAATTTGATTAGCAAATTTAAAAATTGATTAGCAGTTTTTCAGTTTCAACGTAAAACACCTAAATAACAAGATATTACTTTAATTCATAACAAATATGATTAGATTCCATTCTGACTATTCTTTATTGGCTAATGAATTCTATATTCATAGAAATTCGGCCGAATGACAGTGGATACACTAGGCGAATTTCGACGCCGATTGATTCGGCCGAATCATTCGGCTAGTGTCTCCACCGCTTTACAGACAAGGGAATTATATTTTCGGAATCCTTGAAGGAAAGCCCATAAAATGTAGGAATTAGAATTTTGTTTTCTGGCAAATAATGGACGCCATTTTGAATTGAAAATGAAAATTAGTGAAAAATCCACATTAATGGGCTTGAAAACATACACAATTGGTCGTGGCTTAGAGAATCTGTCTCCTATTACCGAAATTAATACATTTCAAGATTGCCAGTCTCATGGTCGAATGTTTGGTATTTGAATATTTCAAAAATTCGAATTTCGCCTCTGATGTTTTCCGTGCCGACAAGGATGTTTTCGAGTGTACGCGCGCGCACATGCGCGTCACATCTCTACTCTCGTGCACACCAACTTGACACTCACCGGGTAAATGGCCTATGGTCCCAAGCACAATTCCCAAAAATAAATTTTAGGGCCCGACCCATGGGGAGCAAGCGGTGGTCATTTTCCCAGGGGTACATAAAGTTAAACAAAGATAGGTTGCCAGGCAACGAAACATACGCCCACAGCAGCTAAATCGTCCGGGCAGTCAACAAGAGTTGTCGCATATTTTTACTTTTTTCGGTAATGAAACATTTATAATACACTAAAATCTGATTAAGAGCAACAACACTGTATCATGAATTTAGCTGTTCCAAGTCATAAAAATTCATTGAAAATCAATATACTTGTTCGTCTCAAGATCTTAAACTCTGTGTATCAATCTGCAGTCAATCGGATATTAACTTTAGCCTCTAGAGCGTCCACAAGATTTTTTGAAGTGATCAAGGGCCATAACTCTGGCAGTAATTATCTGAAATCGCTGAAAATCAATAGACTTCTTCGTCTCATGACCTTAAACACTGTGTATAAATTTAAAGTCAATCGGATATTAACTTTGGCCTCTAGAGCGTCCACAAGATTTTTTGAAGTGGTCAAGGGCTATAACTCTGGCAGTAATTATCGGAAATCGCTGAAAATCAACAGGCTTCTTCGTCTCATGACCTTAAACACTGTGTATAAATTAAAAGTCAATCAGATATTAACTTTGGCCTCTAGAGCGTCCACAAGATTTTTTGAAGTGATCAAGGGCCATAACTCTGGCAGTAATTATAAGAAATCGCTAAATATCAATAGGCTTCTTCGTCTCATGGCCTCTAGAGCGTCCACAAGATTTTTTGAAGTGATCAAGGGCTATAACTCTGGCAGTAATTATCTGAAATCGCTGAAATTCAATAGGCTTCTTCGTCTCATGGCCTTAAACACTGTATATAAATTTAAAGTCACTCGAAAACATCCTTGTCGGCACGGAAAACATCAGAGGCGAAATTCAAATTTTTGAAATATTCAAATACCAAACATTCGACCATGAGACTGGCAATCTTGAAATGTATTAATTTCGGTAATAGGAGACAGATTCTCTAAGCCACAACCAATTGTGTATGTTTTCAAGCCCATTAATGTGGATTTTTCACTAATTTTCATTTTCAATTCAAAATGGCGTCCATTATTTGCCAGAAAACAAAATTCTAATTCCTACATTTTATGGGCTTTCCTTCAAGGATTCCGAAAATATAATTCCCTTGTCTGTAAAGCGGTGGAGACACTAGCCGAATGATTCGGCCGAATCAATCAGCGTCAAAATTCGCCTAGTGTATCCACTGTCATTCGGCCGAATTTCTATGAATATAGAATTCATTAGCCAATCACCACTCATATCGAGAAGTCACGTGATAAATTGAAGACATAGACGCCCCCATGTTTAATCATGTGACGTGAAAGGTGATGCAATCGACAGGTTGAATCGGGCGAAGCATTCAGCTAATGTGTCCACCCATTCGGCCGAATAAAATTTGGCGCCGATTGATTCGGCTATGTGTCCAGTGCAATCTGACCTATATTTTGTCGATTTTTTTGATAAATTTGATCCTTAATTTCATCAAGGGGAGATAATTTAGAAAATTTCTAATGACATTTTTCAAGTCGCATCGGCAAGATCTACTTACATACTAAATTTCATGAAAATCGTGCAACTATTAAAGAAGTTGTCAAGTTGATCTCAACTTCCGGTTCAAAATCACAACGGCGAATTTTCGAAATTCGAAAATCTGAAATTGTAGATTTGAAGTAAATGTTTCAAGGTACCCAAAGAAAAAAGATATAGTAAAATAGGTCAAATAGTTACAAAGTTACAGCAATGTAGGTCAAATGCATTCATTCGTAAAATTTGGTGATTTGGGATTCAAAAAATGATTTCAAAATATATTTAATCAACGTTCGCACCCCATTTTTGGGGGGGTAAGTCAAAGTTTCAGAAAGATCCTATGGTTAGATTCTGAGAAATCAGATTTGCAGAAAATACACACAAAAAAAACAATGATATTAATCTTGACAGAAACAATAAGCTTTCATATGTAATACATATGAAAGCTTAATATTCTTAACAAAAACAATAAGCTTTCATATGTAATACATATGAAAGCTTAATAATAATAATAATTTTAGTAAAAACAATAGTCTTTCAGACGAAAGTCTGAAAGCCTAATAAGAATAATAATCCGAACAAAAACAATAGTGTGAATCCCTAATTATAATCTAAATGTTAAGATGAACACAGAACTGTTAGCTAAATGAACTTGTCTCTTTGTGATGACCCTAGTGCTGTTCAATAAGTCATTTACTTCTTTTGATTTGAGTTCTCCTCACTTTTTTCAGATGGCAGTTATGCTATAGGCAAGGATACATGATTAACAACCAGATTTACATAAATTCTTCACTGTATGTGGCCACAACAACCATGTTTTTGACCTCATCTGCTTTTAAATACTTATTGAATATGGTCACAATATATTTATTATTACAAAAGAGTTTTTCTTCTGGGAGACAGAGTGGCTCAATTAGTAAGACATTGACCCGCTAACATGGAGGTCCGGTGTTCGATCCCAGTGTTGACCGAGAAAGTTCATCAGTATTTTCTAGCACGGTTCCCCCTTGTTAGTGGTGCAGGACAGAGGACCTGGCAAGGGACAATGTATAGTTTTTTCCCCATAGCACACAGTATGGCATATGCCCATCTTCATTAGCCCAGTTGGAGCAGAACAGTAGGATGTTAAACCCAATTTCATTTTTCGTTTTTCTTCCAAAGAATTTGGAGGCCTATTTGTAATAAATATCAGTAATGACGTTATTTTGAAACATTGTTTACACACATTTTGAACACTACAATCGCAGTTATCATTTAAAAACTTTGTTTACAGAGTTCAAACACTACAATCTCAGTTATCCGAGAAAGAAGCGATGGTGAAAGTTTATCAGAGATCTCCATTGACAAGAAGTAGTAGTGTACAGATGTTATGCTGTTCTCCTTTACACTCTCCCCGTCCTTCTCTACTGGCAACACCTAACTTATCATCTCATCAATCTAGTCATTCAGATTCTAGTAGTTACGCTAGACATGTTAAAACAGGTCAGTACTACCATATTATATACCAGACTATACAAATTAAGTTTATCACACTTGAGATTTGAGCAGTTGAATAATTGTCTTAAGACCATTGTGCATTAAGTTAATTTTGTGACTGCCACAACAATTTTTGCAAGTTGATCTAGAAACAACATTTCAGGAAATAATCAGATTTTGAATATCTGCTTGTCAAATAAGGATAAATACCTACTTCAAAAACATTTGTTACAAACAACATCCAACCAACATAATGCGCATGTGCCGCTGTGAAATATTCTCTGAAAAGAATTTTAACATTGAGAACAAGCCCTATACAGTGACATAGATAAATTATTAGTTTATTTCCAATAACACTTTTTTTATGGCTTTTCAGATGAAATTATGATTTATTTAAATTGTGCAATGTGCTTGCTTGTACGCCAAAAAGTACCTTCATATACAAATATTTGTCTGCTCCTCTATTAAAGTCAGACAATATGTGACAACATTTTCTCCCTCGTTCTTAAGGCTTGGATGGCCGAATGGTTAGTGTATGCGTGTTGTATCATAGGGTCTGTCATTGTCTCATTGAGTCAACTGGCGTGGTTTCGACTCCAACCTCATGGGTTTTCTCTGGTTTCCTTCCACTACATGCAGGTGAATTGTTGAAGTAGAATTGAGCCATGTGTTGGTCCGGAAATGACCTGGTTTGTGTCCAGCGGATGTTAACCCCATTTCTCTCTCTCACTATGTATGGTGAGAGTTGACATATTTTAATATTGATTTGTTTCTGTCATCAGGTCAACCCTTTTATATCAGTTTAATATGGATTGTGTATTAGAAATATTTTTCTGTATTTTAGGAAGTGAAAGTGCCTTAGATACAGATCGTCGTGTAGGTGAATTAAGAGAAAAACTTCAGAGTATTGAGATTGAGGTAAACTTTATTAGTGTTGAAACTACTATTCGGATATTCGTTAACGGATACAAAATAAGGGTTATCCGAATCATTTTACTATCCGTTTACTATTCGTTACAATATATTCTGACATTCCGTATGCTCTATATTTAGCCATTTTTACGTCTGATTACTTTGAAATTTTCCCCAATGCAATTGATCACGTACACAGCTCTGAGCATTAATGTCAACATTATGCGTATTATTTAGTGATAGTAACTAATAAAATTATTAATGCAGTGCAACGAAAACAGTAGTCTAAATAAAAAAAATGTTCATTCATTCCCTGCGCTAGTTTACGACATACGAGTTTAGACCGTGTTTTGACTTCCCACAATGAAATTTATTCATAACGACCTAGGTCACGTATATTCCCACTCACTGATTGGTTCAATAGTAGTAGATTATTAGAATGAGGCAAACGACCTTGCCGGAATAAATGGCACATGGTTTTATTTTACTTTTTTCATTCGTGTTGATTGAGCAAAATGATAAGTTGGAGGGTAAGATAACAGGAGTAGTTATACTATACAAATTCCTTCACCTCATTGATTTTTTGGGATGTGGGATGTCAGACCGATGTAATAGATAGTCTTAATAATTACGGTTAAAGGTAGGCACGTTTTTTTCTTCGCGGCTCAAACAATTTGCAAATCGAAAGTACGATTTCATACTCAGCATACACAGACACTCATATACATTGAAACAAGTAAGAAATTATGAGTACCGGTATATGAACTTTTGATGTAATTTTGTTCAAGAATTTCACGTCTCCGAATTATCCGAATAGTATTCGGATAGCCAACAAAAGTATTCGGATCACAAATCTCGATCCAATTTTCAACACTAAACATTATCACTTTTAGGGTGACCCACCATAAAAAAATATCTCCAAATATTTCGACAATTATACCACATTATTTAACAAGCCTTAACTTAACATTTATAGTCACTAAATAAACGGTCATGTTGTATTTAAATTATAATCATTTAAACATCTATAAAAAAAATAGACTGAAGAGGTAAACAACAAGGGGCCATTACATCTGGGCATTTTTGAGTGCAAAATAGGTTACATGTCCTTGGTTTGAAATTAGTCCTGCTACACCAGTCTGCCGACCGTTCTCCGGCTGATTATCAGGCCAAGATAATCAAGACTATTTTCTACGAAATGTTACAGAAAGCTAGATCAATAAATCTAATTTAGTAACTCTGTAGTTAAGCAACTCAACAATTCTTTTGAAAACCTTGTAAAATCATAAGGAAAATACTACTAGTATTCTATTCTTGCCTAATGAAGGAGCATCAGAAATATTGATTTTACTAAACCAAAAGATGCCGCTCCTAACAGTATAGATAAAGCAAATTAAAAAACAAACCAATTGTAATTTTCTAAAGTCTGCTGTTATTTAACTCGTGTTCTGCTTAAAATGAGGGGTCAGCCAATCAAATGGTCATTCGAATCAAGCGTTTGACCTTTTTTGCATGGAACTGTGGGTAGAAATTAGCGGCAATAGAAATCAAAACAAAGCAAAAGTAGATGAAAAATACATGGCGGTTGCTAATTGGTTAATCGAATGACTGACGTAATCGAGTCAAATGTCGCTTGCTTGGTACCTGACGTCATAGAACGTGAACTCCCACTATAACTTGTTAGATCTACATGTAGTGTAGGCCATCGAAAGTATAAAAAACAAAACGAAATATAGATCTATATTTTAATTAGATTATAGCCATGTAATGAGTAATGGAAGAATTCAAAAGTAATGAGTAATGGAAATGTAATTAATTACATTCCAAAAATCATGTAATGGGCAATTACATTTCAATTACTTTTCAATTACATTTTATGGCACATATAAATATTTCCAATATGACAAGCCTCAAACTTTATAGCACCAAAGAAGTAATTAAGTGTATCTGACACAAATCCAGTTCATTATAATTTAAAAAAAAAAATTTAAATCAGTTTTCGAAAAGTATAAGAGATTAAGAAGACATTAAACATTTTCTTTAATTATTTTTTATGTAGGACCCCTTTTTAAGAGGATTTTTAACCTAAAAAGAAGATTTCTGAAAAAATGTATATTATAATCAAAGATTAGTACTAATTTGTAGCCAATCAGTCAGTCTATCAGTATCAATCAATCAATCAGTCAGTTAGATTAAAAGACAATAACTAGCCTTACTCTACACTTTTGACAAACCAAACAATGACCTCCAAGTGTCTCATCATTTTATGGTTACTTAAAACTAATATATATTTTGTTTTAGAGTCATGCTGAATAATTTACCAGTTATTATACAATATATTATTATACAAACTATTTGGATTGATTAAAAATTTAAAAAATCATGTTTTTAGCTTGTGGGCCCTATAGAGGTCACAACTTTTATCCAATTTTGTTGAAACTTGAAATGTAAGTTTATAACCCAAAGATCTCAGTTCCTTTTGATATTCTCGCATAACTTCTTGAATTATGGCCCCTGATTGTACGAAAAATCGCGTATTTAGCTTGTGGACCTTATAGAAGTCATAATTTTTTTCCGATTTAAAAAACCGTATTATTATATCACCGTTACACCCTAAGGCCGACTGAGTTCGAATTTCGTGAAAATCAGCCCAAAAATTGACAGACAAAATGGCCGCCGTTCGTTCTCAAATAGCGTAAAAATATGGTATATCAAGGTTGTGGACCCTATAGAGGTCACAATTTTTATCCGATTTTGTTGAAACCTTGAAATATAAGTTAAACCCAAAGATCTCGGTTCCGCTCGATATTCGCGCATATCGACAGTAACTTCCCGAATTATGGCCCCTAATAGTACGAAAAATCGCGTTTTTAGCTTGTGGACCCTATAGAGGTCATAATTTGTATCCGATTTAAAAAAACGTATTATTATATCACTGTTACACTGAGTTCGAATTTCATGAAAATCGGCCCAAAATTGACAGACAAAATAGTTGCCTTTCATTCTCAAATAGCGTAAAATTATGGTATATCAAGGTTGTGGACCCTATAGAGGTCACAATTTTTATCCGATTTTGTTGAAACTTGTAAGTTTATAACCCAAAGATCTCGGTTCCTTTCGATATTCGCGCATATCGGACCGTAACTTCCTGAATTATGGCCCCTGATTGTACGAAAAATCCCTTACTTTTTAGCTTGTTCTCTATCCACCTCTCGAAAATGTGGGCGTATCCTGCCTGACAGCCGCTGGTTCAAGTCATACAGTGAAAATGTCAGTTTTTGTCACCATTGCCCGTCACTATGAAATTTGCCTTGATGTTATAATTGCTAGAAATAACAATTCATAAACAAATATCTATTAATAAATAAATCAAGGATTATTTTGTAGGCGCTTCATGGCAGAAAAATAAGGTTGTCTTTTTAATTGCTATGAAAAATGTTTTTTTATTTATATAGTCATAAAGTAATGGGTAATGGTAATTAATTACTCTCATTGTAATGGGTAATGGTAATTAATTACATTGCTAAAAATGAGAAAGTAATTGTAATGATTACATTTAAAAAGTTTGTAATGTAATTAATTACACTGGCAATGTAATGGCCCCAGCCCTGCTGTCAATCCCGATAACTGAGGTAGTGTGAATAGAATCATGTCATAATTAAACACAGCGAATATCTTTCAGCTATTTCAGATAATTACTGCCAGAGTTATGTCCCTTGATCACTTCAAAAAATCTTGTGGACGCTCTAGAGGCGAAAGTTAATATCCGATTGACTTTAAATTTATACACAGTGTTTAAGGTCATGAGACGACGAAGCTTATTGATTTTCAGCGATTTCTATAATTACTGCCAGAGTTATGGCTCTTGATCACTTCAAAAAATCTTGTGGACGCTCTAGACGTCAATGTTAATATCCTGTTAACTTTAAATTTATACACAGTGTTTAAGGTCATGAGACAAAGAATCCTATTGATTTTCAGCGATTTCAGATAATTACTGCCAGAGTTATGGCCCTTGATCACTTCAAAAAATCTTGTGGACGCTCTAGAGGTCAAAGTTAATATCCGATTGACATTAAATTTATACACAGTGTTTACGGTCATCAGACGAAGAATCCTATTGATTTTCAGCAATTTCCTATAATTACTGCCAGAGTAATGGCCCTTGATCACTTCAAAAAATCTTGTGGATGCTCTACAGGCTAAAGTTAATATCCGATTGACTTGAAATTTATACACAGTGTTTGAGGTCACGAAACAAAGAATCCTATTGATTTTCAACGATTTCTGATGTTTACTGCCAAAGTTATGAATCTTGATCACTTTGAAAAATCTTGTGATGCTCTAGAGGCTTAAAGTAGAGTTATCATCCGATTGACTTCAGATTGATAATTACTTCATGAGTTGTTACTCTTAATCAGATTTTAGTGTATTATAAATGTTTCATTACCCCAAAAAAGTAAAAATATGCGACACTACTTGTTGACTGCCCGGACGATTCAGCTGCTGTGGGCGTATGTTTCGTTACCTGTCAACCTATCTTATTTTAAAATGTTTAGTAAGTGCAGTAAGTATTAAGTTTTATGGTTGATTTTATGGTACATTAAAGTTAATAATTTTTTTTTTTTCTTCAGTATAAGGCTAAAACAGAAGATGAATGTCAATTATGGCAGGTTTAAAGAAAACTATGACTGTCTAATTTATATATATTTGCATCCCTTGGTTCCAAGAACAAGGGAATATATATTATATCTTTGACTGAAGTGAACTGGATTTAAAAAAAAACAATTTAATTTATTTTGTGCAATATAACAAAACTATTATATGATGTGGTGCTATTTGTTGGATTATAACGTCTCAGTTTCGTGTTATCAAAATGCGGCCGTTTAATTTTTTTTTGTGTGTTTTGATTTCGTCTTCTGGACTTGAATAATACAGTGTTTTACCCTTTGATCTTGATCTTGCTGACTTATAATTTAAGTCTCATATTTACCGGAATGTGACCAAAATAATTTTGGTTTGACAATGTTCGGCATAAATTGGCTAACTGTTCACATTATGATTTTTATACGCCCACATTGAAATGTGGTCCTATATTGTCGTCACCCCCACCCCCGTCCGGCGTCCACAATTGCTTGTAGACGCTCTAGAGGCTAAAGTTAATATCTGATTGACTTTAAATTTATACACAGGTCTTGAGACAAAGAAGCCTATTGATTTTCAGCAATTTCCGATAATTACTGCCAGAGTTGATCACTTTGAAAAATCTTGTGGACGCGCTAGAGGCCAAAGCTAATATCTGATTGACCTTAAATTTATACACAGTGTTTAAGGTCATGAGACGAAGAAGCCTTTTGATTTTCAGCGATTTCCGATAATTACGGCCAGAGTTATGACCCTTGATCACTTTGAGAAATCTTGTGGACGCTCTAGAGGCCAAAGTTAATATCCGATTGACCTTAAATTTATACACAGTGTTTAAGTTCATGAGACGAAGAAGCCTATTGATTTTCAGCGATTTCTGATAATAACTGCCAGAGTTATGGCCCTTGATTACTTTGAAAAATCTTGTGGACGCTCTGGAGGCTCAAGTTAACATCCCATTGACTTTAAATTTATACACAGTGTTTAAGGTCATGAGATGAAGAAACCTATTGATTTTCAACGATTTCCGATAATTACTGTCAGAGGTATGGCCCTTGATCACTTTGTGACGCTCTAAAGGCTAAAGTTATCATCCGATTGACTTCAGATTTATACACAAAGTTTGAGATCTTGAGACGAACAAGTATATTGATTTTCAATGAATTTTTATAACTTCAACAGCTAAATCCATGATATTAAAAATTTTGTATAAAAAACGTTAGCATGGGGCAGAACTTTATAAAAACCATACAAATTCTAATGGTTTTCTGATAATTACTTCATGAGTTGTTGCTCTTAATCAAATTTTAGTGTATTATAAATGTTTTATTACCGAAAAAAGTAAAAATATTTGACAGCTCTTGTTGACTGCCCGGACGATTTAGCTGCTATGGGCGTATGTTCGAATGTCTGGCAACCAATCTTTTGGAAATTCTTTCAAGATCTTTCAGGTTTGTTGTAAAGAATAATGAATACTTTGAGCGATGTTTTTCATATTTGATCAGTTAAAAGTTATTTTGTAGACTTTTGAAATTTGATCTATTTTTATACGCCCACATTTTCATGTGGACGTATATTGTCGTCGCCCCTGTTTGGCCGTCCGGACGTCCATCCACAATTTGTTTGTGGACTCTCTACAGGTCACAATTTTTATCCGATTTCAACGAAACTTGAAATATAGCTTTATCTCCCTAAGATCTTGGTTCCTTTCGATATTAGCATATATCAGACCATAACTTTATGGATTATGGCCCCTGATTGTACGAAAAATCACGTTTTTAGCTTGTGGACCCTATAGAGGTCATAATTTTTATCCGAATCTAAAAACCGTATTATTATATCACCGTTACACCCGAAGGACGGCTGAGTTTGAATTTTGTGAAAATCGGCCCAAAATTGACAGACAAAATGGCCGCTGTTCGTTCTCAAATAGCGTAAAAATATGGTATATCAAGGTTGTGGATCCTATAGTAGTCACAATTTTTATTCGATTTTATTGAAACTTGAAATGTAAGTTTATAACCCAAAGTTCTCGGTTCTTTTCAATATTTCCGCATATAGAATTGTAATTTCCTGAATTATGGCCCTTGATTGTAGGAAAAATCGCTTTTTTTAGCTTGTGGACCCTATATTGTTGTCGCCCCTGTCCGCCCGTCCGTCCCTCTGTCCACAATTGTTTGTGGACATTCTACAGGTCACAATTCTGATTATGGATTATGCCCCCTGATTGTACTAAAAATCGTGTTTTTAACTTGTGGACCCTATAGAGGTCACAATTTTTATCCGATTTCGTTAAAACTTGAAATGTAAGTTTATAACCCAAAGATCTCGGTTCCTTCCGATATTCGCACATATCGGACCTTAACTTCCTGAATTATGGCCCCTGATTGTAGGAAAAATCACGTTTTTAGCTTGTGCACCCAATAGAGGTCATAATTTTTATCCAATTTATAAAAAACTGTTTGAATATATCACCATTACACCCTAAGGATGGTTGAGTTCGAATTTCGTAAAAATCAGACCAAAACTGACAGACAAAATGGCAGCCCCTCGTACTCAAATAGCATAAAAAAATGTGATACATCAAGGTTGTGGACTCTCTAGAGGTCACAATTTTCTTCTGATTTTGATGAAACTTGAAATCTAACTTTATCACCCAAAGATCTCGGTTCCTTTCGATATTCGCACTTATCAGACAGTAACTTCCTGAATTATGGCCCCTGATTAAACGAAAAATCGCGTTTTTAGCTTGTGGACCCTATAGAGGTAATAATTTTTATCTGATTTAAAAAAACGTATTATTATATCGCCGTTACACCCTAAGGACGGCTGAGTTCGATTTTCGTGAAAATCAGCCCAAAATTGACAGACAAAATGGCCGCCGTTCATTCTCGAATAGCGTAAAAATATGGTATATCAAGGTTGTGGACCCTATCGAGGTCACAATTTTTATCCGATTTTGTCGAAACTTGAAATGTAAGTTTATAACCCAAAGATCTTGGTCCCTTTGATATTCGCGCATATCGGACCATAACTTCCTGAACTATGGCCCCTGATTGTACGAAAAATCGCGTTTTTAGCTTGTGGACCCTATAGAGGTCATAATTTTTATCCGATTTAAAAAAAAGATATTATTATATCACTGTTAAAACCTAAGGACAGCTAAGTTCGAATTTCGTAAAAATCGGCCCAAAACTGACAGACAAAATGGCCGCCCTTCATTCTCAAATAGTGTAAAAATACGGTATATAAAGGTTGTGGACCCTATAGAGGTCACAATTTTAATCCGATTTTGTTGAAACTTGAAATGTAAGTTTAAAACACAAAGATCTCGGTTCCTTTCGATATTCGCGCATATCGGACCATAACTTCCTGAACTATGGCCCCTGATTGTACGAAAAATTGCATTTTTAGCTTGTGGACCCTATAGAGGTCATAATTTTTATCCGATTTAAAAAAAACGTAACGTATTATTATATCACCGTTACACCCTAAGGACGGCTGAGTTCGAATTTCATGAAAATCGGCCCAAAATTGACAGACAAAATGACTGCCGTTCGTTCTCAAATAGCGTAAAAATATGGTATATCAAGGTTGTGGACCCTATAGAGGTCACAATTTTTATCCGATTTTGTTGAAACTTGAAATGTAAGTTTATAACCCAAAGATCTCGGTTCCTTTCGATATATTCGCCCATATCGGACCGTAACTTCTTGAATTATGGCCCCTGATTGTGCGAAAAATCGCGTTTTTAGCTCGTGGACCCATTAGAGGTCATAATTTTTATCCGATTTAAAAAAACGTATTATTATATTACCGTTCCACCCTAAGGACAGCTGAGTTTGAATTTCGTGAAAATCGCCCCAGACAAAATGGCCGCCGTTCGTTCTCAATTAACGTAAAAATATGGTATATCAAGGTTGTGGACCCTATAGTGGTCACAATTTTTATCCGATTTTGTTGAAACTTGAAATGTAAGTTTATAATCCAAAGATCTTGGTTCCTTTCGATATTTGTGCATATCGGACCGTAACTTCCTGAATTATGGCCCCTGATTGTACGAAAAATCGCTTTCTTTTTAGCTTGTTCTCTATCCATCTCTCGAAAATGTGGGCGTATCCTGCCTGGCAGCCGCTGGTTGATCAAAATTGTAACAAATGCCAATGCTAGATCTATTCCAAATTCCACAACAGACTTTGAGACAGCCGTTTTTAGGACCAACTGACCGATATTAGTCGCATGTATCAAGTACATTTCACTGAATAATATTAATCCTTATGATACACGTGTTGGCTACGCTTTGATATAGTCTGGTCCCATACCCACACGAAGAAAGGGGGGTTGGATGGCTGAATGGTTAGCGTGCGCGCGCTGTATCATAAAGTCTGCCATTGAGTCGACTGGCGTGGTTTCGAATCCCCGGTTGTACGTGGCAAGGAGTAGGGTCGCCTGTCCAACCTCGTGGGTTTTCTCCGGGTCCTCCGGTTTCCTCCCACTGCTAAAGACCCCTACGCGCAAGCGAATTATGTAAATAAAATTAAACCATATGTTAGTCCCGAAATGACCTATTTTGTGTCGAGTGGACGTTAAACCCCATTTCTCTCTCTCTCTCCCACGAAGAAAGCATCCACATTATTTTTATTACGATTGATATTATACTTATACGGTAAGGATATCCCTACTCGGAATGATACAGTTAAAACTGCACGCGACAATAACGAAGAGGTGGTTTATCGTTGATTACCTAGTCCGTTAAAATTTACATTGATATTTTACGTTGAAAAATCATCTGGATAATATTTCGTTTATTCTTTGAATAAAATGGCTTCTGAGCTTGAAACTGTCAGGGCCAATTGGAATATTTTTGATGACAGTTCGGCAGACTGCGAAAAACACACCGCTGCTGACACGAAAAAGAGCATTTCTTCTGTCACTCATATGGGGATATTTTAGTTTAAAAAGAACACCCGACAAGTCTGTTAACCAGGTATTGAGTTAATGGATATTTATTCGGTATTCCGGGCATCAGAATAGAATGATCTGCGGTGACGATACCTACAGGAATAATCTTACCCCAGCATATATACATGTATATACGTCTCACTTCATCAGTACATCTCACATACATTGCTAAATACCAAATCGATACACTAGATACATTAATCCATTTATACACCTCAAGTTATATATCAATTTTATATCAGTAATTATCACAATATTGAATTTTTGAAGCACAATAAATCTAATTATCGCGATAATTTACTCCAGACGATAATCCATGATATCGCGATAATTTATTTTACCAATATCGTGAGATATCGGGATATTTTTTTTCTGTTTTGTTGCAACCTTAGTTGAATTCGAATTTCGGGAAAATCGAAATGAAACTCCCCAACAAATGTCTGCTCTTTGTACTCAAAAGTCAAATTGTGTAAAAGTATGAAATACGAAGGTTGTGGAATTGTGGACCCTCCAGAGGTCACAATTTTTATCCAATTATGATGAAACTTAAAACATAGTTTATATCCCAAAGATCTCAGTCCCTTTTGATATTTGCGCATTTCAGACCATAACTTTCTGGATTGTTGCCCCTGATTGTACAAAAAATCCTGTTTGTTTTTAGCTTGTTCTCTATCCATCTCTTGCAAAATGTCGGCGTATCCTGCCTGACAGCCGCTGGTTGTTATTGTTGTGAAATTATATTATTTTTACCATTTTTTTTTTTTTTTTTTTGTCTTATTTTTGGCATTTGAGATCGTCTCTCAATGTGTTGCCAATGGGTACCAAATATTTAAATAAACGTTTTGTTACATTAATGAATAATATTGTAATATGTATGTGTAATACTACTTATTTGTGAATTTAAAGTCATTTTTGATGCTGCTACTTATTTATAAAATATTTCAAAGAATAATTTTATATTTGTTCAGGTTTTTGACTTTTGTTTCTTTTCATTTTCAATTTCTAATAGATTTTTATAGGTATTTATTGTTTCTAATGTGAACAAAAAATTAAAAGTCTTCCATATTAATAAGTTAGAAATTAATTTTCTCATCCTTTCATTTGTTAGAACTTAAGTGCCTTTGAAGAACTGTTATAAGGATTTTTTATAGCATTAAGAATAATGAAAAATAGTTGATTTTATTCCAAATATACTATTCAAAAAAAGTAGGGGATATTTGATTTTTAAGTGTTATTAAAGTCACCTAATGAAACTGACGAAGAAACAAATGACAAAATGAAATGAAGTTCACATTCATCGATTTATTCCAAATGATCGTTAGACTAAGTAAGGCACAGACTGACCATTATAAGGGTAAAATGATACCCGGGGTCAAACAGCAAAGTTACCACAGCATCACAACCAAGTCAGTAACGGGTAAATCCTCCTCTGTTTGCCAAACAAGCATTGATCCGACGTGGCATACTCCTAATGAGACGTCTAAGGTCATTTTGGTCCAGATTGTCCCATTCCTGTTGCAACGCAGCAGCAAGTTCTTGGACATTGGCAGGACGTTGTTGACGTTGACGTAACCTCTGTCCAAGCATGTCCCAGACATGCTCGATGGGGGAGAGGTCGGGACTCAGTGCTGGCCAAGGTAATGTGGTGATGTTCTGTTGTTGGAGGTAACCTGTAACGATCCTGGCCCTGTGACATCTTGCGTTGTCATCCTGGAAGATGAAACGGCGGCCATGACGTCGTGCGAGCGGCACAACATGGACTGCCAAGATGTTGTCCCGGTAGTACTGGCCTGTAACACGCCCTGCAACAACATGTAAAGCCGTTCTTCCAGCAACAGTGATGCCTCCCCACACCATAACAGAACCACCCCCAAATCGATCATGTCTGATGACGTTAACGTCTTGGAAGCGCTCGTTTCGACGACGCCACACCCTCCTACGTCTGTCCAAAAAATCAACAGTGAACCTTGACTCATCTGAAAACATCACATTGCTCCAGCGTCGATTATCCCAGTGTTGACGATCCCTACACCAACGACGTCTTGCCTGAATGTGATGATCTCTCAAACAAGGGATCACGCGAGGACGTCGGGCGCGAAGGTGACCCCTATGCAGTCGATTCCGTATCGTCTGGCCACTCACTCTCACACCAGTGTCTGTTTGAAGACAAGCGCTGATCTGATTTGCTGTGATGACACGATTTCTCAAGGCCAAGGTACGGATAAATCGATCCTGGGCTTGAGTTGTCGCCCTTGGTCGACCTGAGCGTGGTCTGTCCTGTACAGATTGTGTATCACGGTATCTGGACCATAGCCTGCTTATGACAGACTGAGAAACATTCATCGTCCGCGCCACAACCGCCTGTGTTGTGCCGATCTGTAGCATGCCAAGGGCACGTAACCTTTCATTTTGGGTAAGCCGACGCATATCAAAATTTGTTTTCTGGTCACTAAAACAATTAAACTGATGTTTCCACCCTGGAATTCAATGCCACAATGACTGTAACATTCAAAGTCAGAGTCGTGCAAATCTTGGGTTGGACCCCCATGATGATCCCAAGCATCACCTGCATTCCATGCGGTAGCTATTGGTGGGTTTGGGCGTCACATGTAACTGGAAATGTTTCTTCTGTTAGGTTCTATAGTTACTTTTTTCGTAGTCATTTGCATATTTTAGTATTATGCCCCCAAAATCAAATATCCCCTACTTTTTTTGAATAGTATATTTACATATTTGTCTGTATTAATGTACTTAATAACAGAATATTGTTTTATGATTGTTACAGATACATTATGTACGATTTAGATAAAGAGCTGGCTATTCTTGCTATAATAGTTCAAAAATAGATAATGCAAAATGAATATATGGAAAGTTTCATTTAAGTTACTTTATTCTGAGCCAAGTTATCACTGTTTATAGTTTTGAGAAGATATGTGTGATTGAATATTATCAAGGGCACTGTACTGGTATGGCTTAGCCTCACTTCCCCATTCATAGTTAATATTTTGTCTGTAAATAATCTAAAGGTTGCAATTATTAACAGATTTGGATCAAATTTGGCATGATCCACCATATGGTTGTACTTATTTATATTGTTCCATATACAACCCTCAGTAACAGAGCCACACCAAATTTTTGTGTTTATCGTCTGCAGGCTGCAACTCTGAATGGATCGTCTTGGAACTTTGCATATTTATTTCTTATATCGTAAAGACAGCAATTATTTATTTTAGTGCATACTCCGACCCCCGGGAATGCGGACTATATTACAGCGGTACCGATGCTCTTGTTAAAGTAAATCATTTAATGGCGGAACCGTTCTATAATCTAGTTAAAATCTTGAGTATTCGATGGCATCAAAAGTTGAATATATGGTCTTAAGGCCTAAAGAAAGACCTGCAATAGGTAAATTTAGCTCTTGAATAATGTATCTTAAATTTTATGCAAGAACCGATAGGAAAGCAAACATGGATGATAAACCAGCACATGGCAGTTTTCATCAACTCTTCCTTGAAGTGTCAAATTTGATAATGAACACCTCCCACATGAATGGCGCTATAGCGTGTCGCATGTGCAGCTCAGTGGTTCTGTTGTGGCGACAAGTTCTTCATCTGTGAACATACTCTCAAAGCATGTCAAATGTCCATGACTATTATTATCATATTGCAACCTGCATAGTTATCTGCATTTCAATATCCCCTACTTTTTTTGAAGAGTATATTTAGTATATCTGCTGTAGATAAGTAAGTACTAGAGTTGTTAGTACCAAAATATACATTGACTATTGTACAAGTATTTAATTATCAACAACATCATCATAGTCATCAATTATTAATACCATTAATTTGTTAATAATTCAGACATAATAAAATTATGGTAATAAAGTGAAAACTTCATTAATTTAATTCAAGCTTGTAGAAATGAGCTCATTTCTGCCAGGGATAAACAAATCCAAATGTGTACACCGACAATTCTAGTTCTAATTTATTTTAAACACTGTGTATATATGGCATCAGTATGGAGGAGTGGTTGTGTGTAATAATAATAATTCCAACAAAATGGCTGCTCATAGTAGTCATAGTCTCAAATTACCATATCACAAGAAAGTCATAAATAACAGTATGTCTGTTGAAAAAATCGCCTTTTTATACGCCCACATTGAAATATGGTAGTATATCGTTGTTAGTCCGATGGTTAATGTAAATCCGTCGGCTTTTCGGGTAGAAATCGTGGAATAAGCTTTATTTTGTAGGTTTTGATGTTTGATTACAAAAAACCAATGTTAACATTTTTTTTGAGTATTGAGGGTAGCCATTTTGCGATAATATTCCAAATTATTTTTTATTTTCACCTTATTTATAATGTTATCGACATATCAACTGTGATTTGGCAATGTATTAATATTGGCGGCATTCATGACTTTATTTCAGATTGTTTTCCATCATTTCATGATGATATTTCCAAGATGGCGCCCTTTTTTGCGGGAAAATCGATCGATGCGCTGATTTCGATTAAGGAGTAGTTTGGTGTCAATATATATGTTTTTGGGGTCACAGATTTGGCGCTCTACATGTCTGAAAGCCTATTGAGATTACTAAAATTATTATTATTGAGATTACTAAAATTATTAGGGTTTCACACTGCGTAGCTTGTGTGAAACACTATTGTTTTTGTTAAGATTATTCTTATTATTATTCTTATTATTATTATTTTTCTTATTCCATTTTGATTGTATCTCAGAAACTACATGTCGGAATGATTTGATGTCTTCGGTTTTACTGGGAAAGTGGGTGTGTCTTAGAGATTGAAGCTATTTCGAATGTTCTGCGATAATGCGAAATGTCCGAAATCGTCGATTTTTGAAATATTGCCGTAATATTAACAATAATCGTCGCATTTTAATATTGGATACATTTTGACATAGCCAGAGACAAGGCACATAGCTACGGTTCTTTTGATTTTCGACGAATCGTCAGAGATATTAGGCCCCAAATTTTGAAAATTAAAATTTTTACAAAAAACTTTTTTATTTATGAATATTTTTATGTGGTATTTTACCCAGGGTTAAAGAGTCATCTGATTTGACCAAAAATGGTGCCATTTTTTGTCACCGTAATTTTCCTTGGCCCCCATTGGCTAATTCAGTTTTTCAGTCCTGGATCAATTATTTAATACTCGATTTGTATCAAACAAAGATCATTAGCTCCGTGGTCCAAAATGTCATTTTTTTTGTTACCGGTAAAGTTACCTTTTGGCAACGGAAGTGACATAAATTTAGCAAAAACTACAATTTTGACAGTTCGGTACCACTTTTTGAAAGCAAATATTATTTTTTTCAAATCTGGTATGACTGAAAGTGTGTGCCCTGTAAAGGCGCAGAAAACATCAGGCTCAGTTTTTTTAATTTCGATTTCGTTTTCGGGTCATTTTGATTTATATGTGAAAAAAGGTGAAAAAATGAGCTATTTACAACCAATTCAGGGTTTTCATATTTTAAAATATTTCTTCGCAACTTTTATAAACTTGTAGCAATAATCCATACGAAGAGAATGTATGTGAAAATTAGTTTGTAATATGAGCAGATGCCCAGAAATGGGCAATTTTGCATGAGTCACGAATTACTCTAGTTTGCCGGTAAAAGGTCAATTATTATTGGATTTTCATAAAAGCGACACGATTTGATGCGTAATGCCAATTTTAACTAGGTCAAACCAATTTAACATTTTCAATGTCACCAGAAATGACGTAATTTGGGCAAAAACTGTATTTATAGCCTTCGAAACAAATAATTGATTCAAATGAGTCGTATTTGTTATTTGTTTAAAATTTTGATATTTGATTTAAATCAACTAATAGAATGAACCCATACGATCATATAGATATCACAAATTGGTTTCT